CTTCCTTCCTTCCTTCCTTCCTTCCTTCCTTCCGCCACTTCCTTCCTTCCTTCCTTCCTTCCTTCCGCCACTTCCTTCCTTCCTTCCGCCACTTCCTTCCTTCCTTCCGCCCGCCACTTCCTTCCTTCCGCCACTTCCTTCCTTCCTTCCTTCCTTCCTTCCTTCCTTCCTTCCTTCCTTCCTTCCTTCCTTCCTTCCTTCCTTCCGCCACTTACTTCCTTCCTTCCTTCCTTCCTTCCTTCCTTCCTTCCTTCCTTCCTTCCTTCCTTCCTTCCTTCCTTCCGCCACTTCCTTCCTTCCGCCACTTCCTTCCGCCACTTCCTTCCGCCACTTCCTTCCGCCACTTCCTTCCTTCCTTCCGCCACTTCCTTCCTTCCTTCCGCCACTTCCTTCCTTCCCTCCTTCCTTCCTTCCTTCCTTCCCTCCCTCCTTCCTTCCCTCCTTCCTTTCTTCCTTCCCTCCCTCCTTCCTTCCCTCCTTCCTTCCCTTCCATCCCCCCTTTCAGGGTGGACAAGAGAATGATACTGCTTATTTTCAGAAGTGGAAACTGGATTTTCTAAGAAATGTCCTTTTGCCCAAGGTATTTTGAATAACAGATGTTACCAACAGATTGGACGAAGAAAGAAAAGATCCTCGGTTTTTGGCTGTCAGCATTATTATCATGGATATTGCTGGGAGGAAAGTGGAATGCTAGGTAAATCACAAGCCATCTTAAGGAAGGCATGAAGGTTTATCTGCCTTCCCTCCACTACGTAAGTGATAACCCTTCTTCTTAATTGCATTTCTACAATTGAAGAGCAAGGGACAAGGAATTAAAAAAAGAAGATATCTCAAACTGAGCTTAAACTGGAATTAGAGTGAGAGGTTTCATCTTCAGTACTGTCACTCCCTTGCATCTGAAGTTAAGGTTTTGAGTTTGAGTATTGCAGCCACCTGAAATTATTCCTCTGCCAAGGCTCAGCAGCCCCCCAGTCTGCAGGGTGCAAAGAGGTTCTGTGCTTAACACACAGGGAACACTGATCCGATTCTAGAAATTCACTTTTCTGGTATAGATTTTGCAGTTATTCTCCCAGAATGTCCCAGAATCCACAGGATGAAGCTCTTTAAAGATATTGTTCAAACAGGGGTAGTTTTTCCTTTTTTTTTCTCTAGGAAGAGCTAATTAGCTGGGAGGTGGGGGACAAGTTTACATCCTCTGCCTGTGGGAGTTTAAGTCTTCATCTTCAATTTCCTGCCAATAAGCCTAAAAGCCAAGGCTGCTAGATTAATATTTTCCATGTTATCTCCTGCCTAATTTGACCAACCTCCTCAACTGGCGAAGTGCTTCAGGCCTTGTCTCTGCTGGGCCAGCCAGGTGGTGCCCATTGCCTCTATGGTAAGGGACTGTGAAGGCTCTTAGAGGTCAGTGCTGGGGAAGCCCTGGATGTCCCTGGACCATGGGAGGCGTGGTGTATCTGGGCTGTATGAATGACAGGCACTGAGGTCAGTCAGGGCCCAGACCACCAGCAGCTGCTCATGTAATTCTGCTGAAGACTGTTCTGCGATGTTAATGTGCTCATCACTCCTCGGTGAAAGCCTCCACAAGAAATGCAAAGAATTAAAGATTCAGTGGGTCAGATGGAGGGGGAAGAAGAGGGGAAACTAGTAACCTACTAGTTTGGGCAGACAATGCAAAGCATCAGGTCTGGCATGCAGTAGCTTCTCTAGGAACAGCTGATGCTTTTGTCTAATGAGTTTTTAATATAAAATGCATGAACAATGGAGACTGGAATTCACATTTCAATTAATATTTTAAGTGTTTTATATCAAGTATTCATAGCAGAAAGAACTGAACTTGTGTGTTCCTGCCCCTCGTGAGTGCCCCTAAGCACTCAGCAAGTGAGTTTTGCTCATACTCATCTTCCTTCTGACACACTGAGTACTTAATTAGTCCACACAGAGAAAAACATCTTCAACAGAGATTGAAAGAAGAGATCTAAGAACACCCCAGAGAAGAATAACAAGAATTCAGATCTCTCTAGGAAGTGGAGCTATTTGAACCTAACTCCCCTGTTTAAAAGGAACCATATTAAAGTCTGAGATACAGATTAAAATGAACTGAAAGAAAGATGAGGGTCAAGATGCAATGAGGGGCATCACCACCTCTACATAGGAGAAAAGGTTCTTCTCGATGTTCAAGCAGCAAATTTTGGCAATTCTTTGCCTAATTCTCTGTATGTATGGCAGAGGAGGAATGGAGGACAAAGGACCAGAATTCTACTAGATCCCTGCGCTTCAGCAGTGGTCTGAACACTGGGAAATGACACCCAAATCCCAACATTTTAATATGTGAAAAACAAAACACAGAACCTCTTAATGAGTAGCTATTTATGCACCATTTAATGTACATTAATGAGCACACTAAAAGGAATTTTTTGCTCAGGTCTCACTGAAGACAGTGGGACTGAGGACCAGTGACTAGGACTACTCCCAGTTTGCTGAATGGTTAAATAGAGGCTTTCCTTGTCTGCACTGGTGGAGTTCACAGTCCTCAGGCACATGGGTCAGGCAAAGAGTAAAGCCAGGACCCAGCATCTTAGAAGAGCAAACTTCAGCTCTTCAAGAAGGTCAGTAGGATGCCCTGGGAAACTGCCCTCAAGAACAAGGGAGCAGAACATAGCTGACAGATCTTTAAGGATATCTCCCTTGGGAGATCTCCTGAAGATTTCTGAATCTCCTGAAGATTTCTGAATCTCTGAAGATTTCACTGAAACCCAGGTGAAAGAAATTGGACGAGAAAGACAAGAGACTGAATGGCTGTATTGGGACCTGCTAGCTGAACTAAAGGGCAAAAATGAAATGCACAGGTGGTGGAAGAAGGGACAGGTATCATGGAAAGAGTATAGGAACACAGTCTGGCTGTGTATGGATAGAGCCAGGAAGGTCAAGGTGTAGCTGGAGCTGAAGTGGGCAAGGGATGCCAAGAATAACAAGAAGGACTTCTACAGGTATGTCAGCCAGAAAAGGAAGGTTGAAGATGATGTACTCCACCTGACAAGCAGGGCTGGCATGAGGAGAGGGCTGAGGCACTCAACAACAATTTTCCCTCAGTCTTCTCCTGCAACCTCAGTTTCCGTGCCTCTTGAGTGTTTGGTCCACAAGACAGAGCCTGGGGGAGCAAAGTCCCTCCCACTGTAAGAGAAAATCAGGCTTGGGACCACTTGAAGAACCCGAGCATACCAAAGTCTATAGAACATTGTGATATCTATCCCAGAGTCCCAGGAATTGGCTGATTTAATTACCAAGCCGCTGTCTATGATATTAGAAAAGTGTGGCAGTCAAGTGACTGGAAAAAGGAAAATTTTGTACCCATCTTAAAAAAGGGTAGAAAGAAGGGCCCTGGGAACTATCAGCTTGTCAGTCCCATTATCTCTGTGCCTGGATCACAGAACATATCTTCCTAGAAACTCTGTTAAGGCACATGGAGGGCAGGGAGGTGTTCAAGACAGCCAGCACGGCTTCACCAAGGGCAAATATTGCTTGACCAACTTGGTGAAGACAGTCCATCAATGGACGAGGAAAGAGCTACACATGTCACTTATCTGGACTTTTGTAAGGCCTTTGACATGGTCCCCCACAACATCCTTCTCTCTAAATTGGAGAGAGATGGACTCAATGGGTGGACAATTTAATGGATAAGGAATTCACTGGACAGCCTTATTCAGAGAATAGTGGTCAATGGCTTGAGGTCTGAATGGAGATCAGTGACAAGTGGTGTCCTTCAGGGGTCAATTTTGGGACCAACATCTTCATCAATGACATAGTGAGTGACATCAATGACAGAGTGATCCTTCAGGAAGTTTGCAGATGACATCAAGCTGTGTGGTGTGACTGATGCACCGGAAGGACAGGATGCCATCCAGGGGGACTCAGACAAGATTGAGAAGTAGACCCATGGGAACCCTGAGGTTTAACAAGGCCAAGTGCAAAGCACCTGAGCAGGGCAACTCACAGCCCAGAAAGCCAAATGTATATGGGGCTGCATCCAGAGCAGTGTGGCCAGCAAGGTGAGAAGAGGATTTAGCCCCTCTGCTCTGCTCATGTGAGACCCCACCCGGAGTGCTGTGTCCAGCTCTGGGGTCCCCAGCACAGGAAAGACATGGGCCACAAAGATGATCAGAGGGCTGAGAGAGCTGGGGTTGCTCAGGCTGATGGAGAGAAGGTTCTGGGAAGATGTTACAGCAGCCTTCCAGTACCTAGAGGGGAATATATAGGAGCTGAAGAGGGACTTTTTACAAGGGCATGTAGTGATAGGACAAGGCAAATGGCTTCAAACTGAAAGGGGGCAGGTTTAAATTAGATATGAGGAAGAAATTCTTTACTCTGAGTAATTCTTTACTCTGGGTGGTAAAGCATTGCAACAGGTTGCCCAGAGAAGTTGTTGATGGCCCAATTCTGAAACTGTTTAAGGCCAGGTTGAATGGGGTGTGGAACAGCTTGGTCAAGTGGAAAGTCCTTCTGGTCACGGCAGAAGGGGGGGGTTAGAATAAGATGATCTTTATGGTCCCATCCAAATCAAAGCACTTCATGATTCTATGGCTATTGAGAGATGGAAATAATGTGAAATTAGCTGAGAACTGTCATGCTGCCTTGGGAATTCAGAGAAAGGCAATATAAAAATGCATCCTTAAGAACAATAGGAAGCCATGGATCTTGCTGTGTCAGACATCAGGAGAGATCAAATTTAGAGAGCTAAATCCTCTGCTTCCCCCCTTCCCATACACATGCACAAAACTCTCTATAAAGGCATACACTTCTGTTTGTTTTGTGTGGTTTCCTCAGGCAGTGAATTATCTAGGACTGACTCTAAGATTGGCTGTTTAGTTTCAGACTTTACGATAAGCTTTTAATTATAGCACGGGAGTTTCATTACATGTTACTCTGAGCCAGCTGGAAGCAGTTACACTTTAGTCCTCCTCCCCCTCCCTCCTCACCACAGGATGTCATTTCCAAGGCCTTACCCTTCTTGTCTTGATGATTATGGGATGAAACTGCCACATATGGATCTGTATTTTCAGATGAACCAAGCGGATCCTTCCAATCCAGCATGCGTCCCCTAGCATCATAACCCTGTCGAGCGCGAGAGTCAGAAGTGGTGGTGCTTGGGACTAGGGAACTGGAGTGTCCTGTTCACATTATAAATACAGGTAGGGAAGACAAGTCTCATTAGTCACTTACCACGCTACCTCCCCATGCTCAGGGATGTACAGACTGCTTTGCTTCTGTGACAGGTGAACATCTTGTCTTAGGCTGAGTAATACTTCAAAAGTCCTTCAAAATGTGACTCCGAAGGAAGAGGGGATTTGAACCTCCCAGATCAGGGTGCTAAAAGGTGCTGCCACTGAGCTGGCAGTTCTGTGCTTCTCCACAGAGTTAAATGCATATGAACGAGGGTAAGCACGCTTTATCTGAGTCAAGCATCCTTTGCCTGGATTCAGCACACATGCCTGACTGAAACTGAAGCGTCAGCCCATGCTGTCTGATACAGGCTCAGTCAAAAAGCAAATAAAAAAATCAATGTAGAACAGAACAAAGTCCAAAATGGCTGGAACTGATTGGGAATGCCAGAAGAACTACAACAGGGTGACATCATGAGGCACTCTACCTCATGTCCCCAGGGAGTGAGGGACTGCCCAACACCGGTGTGCTCTCGCTAGGGCACATTCCCTCTCCAGACGGGAAATATCCCGGCCCAGCTGCTCACACCCGCTTGCACCATCACTGTTGGTCCTGTCTGAGCGGGTGGCCCAAAAGGGCTCTGAAATAAGCACAAGACTGAGCACCATTTCTACTCAGAGCGACAGTGCAGACAGTGCCTCACCACGGGCACTGCCCAAGAACCCCTGACTCCAGCAGCAGCTGAGGCTGAGGTCTCACATGCCTTTTTTCCATTACAAATGCTCTAGACATTGTTACTGCTGCCCTGAACAAGACTGAGCTGCTTCTTGCATATCATACACACCCCAAAAAACAGCACACACACAGAACTCGCCCCACTGGAAACACAGCACAATTTGAAATGTGGTTTGGATGGGACAACAGCAGGTTTGCAAATTCATACACTCTTTGCAGCTGGACCTGAAAAGCACATCAGCACCTAAATGCTTGAGGTGCTTGGAGTCTACTGTCTCTGGAAGACAGCTCCCACATGGACTTTCCAGTGGCTCAGCTGCTTTGGGGAGAGGGCACCAAAAGCCATCCACACCACAACATTTTGATCTCAAAACCATTCTGAAATTTTTCTTTTGGTACATGTGAAAAAGTGAGTTATTTTCATCAGGATTCAAGGAGTTCTGGGCCTCCTTAATTTGTAGAGTAACTATATCCCCTTACCTACTATTCTTAAGGAGCCCATTAAAAAACCGGGATTTTTGACACATGCTCAAACTAACAGAATTGGATTTTTCACAGACAGGATGGCATATAACATTTTTCGTCAGATAACTCTAGACAGACTGACAGCAGCCCTCCTTTCTCCTGTCTCCTTTTGAACAGCCCAGCAAATTAACTTTCCTTCCTCAGACGAATCTCACTTGGAGAGGAGTCCAATCACCAGGCTACAGGCTGCCCTAGCAGGGACCCTCTCTCTGCTCCTTTCCTTGATCTTGCTTCACTGCTCAGAAAAATAATTTGAGACTCACTGGGGCAGAGACAGATCAACACAAGGAGCTGAAATTTAAGCCTCACACAGAAGGCACAGAGCTGGGCAGGTAGAGCCTGTGCTTCTGTAGTTTATTTTAAACAGCTTCTGGATAACCACAAAGCTTTTGAAAACTGCATCTCAAAAATGCTGTTTTAAATGGCTTCTAAAGCCATACAGCCCCAGCTCTCATAAGTCTAGAGAGAGATGATGAACCTAGATCCTCAATTCTACTCCAACTATCAAAAATCTAAATGTTGGCCACCAATGTCCCCAAGCTTTTAGATGCACCCACATGATTCTTTTTATCCAGCCCTTTCACCAGCTTCATGGTGTTGAGCTACTGATGAAGTCAGCAAATTGCTGCAATTATTATTAAGATGATATGATTTAAAGAAACCCTGTTGAATATGAATGACTTTAGGGTAAAAAAATGTCTGTGCTCCTCTATAAGTTTTTGAGGAGCCATTTTGATTTAATGAATTGAATTATATATGGGAGCACTTTGGACTATGTTTTGTACAGGACATGGTCACAATGAACTCCTTTAGCTTGTATGCTTAGAAAGGAAAACTGGTTAAATTTACAGTGCTCTCACCATGAAGCCATCCTTCAACTCCAACTAATTGTTAACACAATTTAGCTCTGGATGTCATTCTGAAGGTTTTATACTGACAAGGGCAGTGGATTATATTTTACCCTCTCATGGTAGAAAGTGTGTTTTCTCCCAGCCATCTTTCTTTAAAGCAGTAAATTAAATGCTGTGTTTTGTTAAGACAGAGTTTTAAATGCTGTGTTCTGTTAAGACAGAATGTCATCCAAATAGAAAAGAGGAGCCAAATGTGATCCTTTTTTAAAAGGTTTTCATAAGTCCTGTCCTGGCTGGGGACATTGGTAGCACACAGATAAAGGACTCCATTTGAACTCTAATCCAAATGTTCTGCCTGCTTCACAGCAGTCCTGCAGCAGGACTGTTTGTGTCCAAAGGGACTGGTAGAGGTCCAGCAACTGAAAACACACCCCCTTCTTGAAGCAAGAATATGCTGGATCCTGAAAGCACTCACTCCAACACTACTTTACGCTTGTCAACTCCCGTGCTCATTCTCCAGGAACAAGACAAATAACAAGGCAGAGAACAGACTAGAAAATAGAAATTATGGAATTTTCATGTTTTCTTTTCCCTAAGGATTAAACCACAGTGCAAAAAGTCACGGGGTTCCAGTCTTCAAGATTATACCCCGTTCAGCAACAACAATAATGTGTACAGTATTTGGTCAGCTTACACATAGTGGTGCACTCACCATAAGACAGCAATTAGTCATTGCTTGATAAGGAGGTAAAAGAGAAGAAAATCTTGCCAAGTAGCAATCATATTTTAGGCCTGTGTTTGATATGCATTTTTACACCTGTATCTCTTTCCAGACACTCGCACTTTTAAATATGCCTAAAGGAAGAGTTCTGGGGAAAAGCTACAAGCATAGTTAAAGAAAAACATTTCATAATACAGAAATCTAGAAGAAGTATATGCTTAAGGGACACATTTTTCAGGGGGAAAAAAAATTCTTGAACCATATGTTGCCAATACACAGAGAACTTCCTGGTAACGGAAAGCTAAGGCTTTGTGAAGCTATTAATGTGTACCAGATGGTCACTAGGTAGAGAGGGGTTCCACACAAATACAAAGAATCAGTATATTTATTCTCTCTGTTACTAATGTATTAGACTAGTACACACTGAGAAGCAAGCTTACACAGTTGATTGAGACAAACTTTCTTCCACTGGATTTTGAGGAAGCAGATTAAACCTTAATAGCCCGTCCCAGCTGTGTTAGAGCTGTATTTGCAAACACTTACTACGAGGCAGTGATACTGCTCCTGTAAGCAGTATCACAGTGTCCTGTAAGTGCCTGAATAGCCAGTCCCACTGGGTGAATGTCACCTCTGAGCAGAGTAGCACCACAAATGTATGACCTATTTAAGTTTCTCTCGTAAACAGAGAAAAGACTGAAGTGGCAGGCAAGCCAGTCCTGGCCCTCTCACACACAGCCATTATCAAGCCTTTACAATGCACTATATAGTTGTCAACATGTAGTGGGCCTTTTTTTCCCATTACACCATTTTTCACCACTCTAACTTGCAAATAAGATTTGTTGAAATATAATGAGGCTTTAGCACATCTGAGATGTGGCCAGAACCTCTGTGTTAATAATGGTTAATACAAAAACATCTGAAAAACCAATTCTGCCTTTGTTTTAAAACAAAGCATGCGAATAACTGTACACATGGTGCTTTTCAAATGTCTTTGTTTAAAGAAAACATGTAAAAATCAAATAGACACACTCTAAAAAAATCTGGATTAGGTGCTTCCATTATTTGGAAAAACTTTTCATTTGGAGTGCTGTAATCAAGTAACAGAGGCAGAGTAAAAGCACTTAGTGCCTGTGAGCACAGATAATGATTCAGAAAGGCTGCACTTCTGAAACTATAGCTTGTTCTGAAGTGCACTTGTAAAATGCAAAGAGGTTTTTTTTTCAGGTTTAAAACAAAGACAGAGATTCAATACTATCAGTATTTGATAGTTGGTCTAATATGCACAAGTCATTAGAATCTCAGAGGTTAAGATATCTGCACACTATCCTATTAACAGCTAAAGCAATCTAATTAGACAATTAGAGGAAAAGTTAAATCAATACTATAGAGGGAGAAAGGACTATGGCTAGGGGGTAATATAAGGGCCCAATTCACTAAGAATTGATGTTTCCAAAGGTAATTGAAGCTGCTTAGACTTTTGCAGAGTGATCTAGCTTAATCTCCTTGTTTAAATATGTGTCTCCTGCATAATTTCTCTCTGACTTTCTGCATCCAGACCTTCCGTCTGCTATCCTCTCCCTCCTTGGGTGTCAATGGAGTCACCTGCATGAACTTCGCACGTTACTTGTTTAAAACTGATCATGTGAGACTGCCTTAGGAAGAGAGCCCATGTGCCAAAATCAGGAGGAGGCTGGTGCCAGGAATGCAAAGATTAAGGGCTTGGTTCTCCTCTCATTCACACTGCTACAGATTGGCAGAAAGTCTGTTGAAGGAGGATGATTTATAGCGGCATAAGTGAAGAGAATCAGGCCTTATGACTTCTTTTGGACCTTCAGATGACTTTGGGTATATTTAGCCCACTGAGCATTCACTCAGTTGGCATTCTGGTACTGGTGTTCTGAGGTTTAATCTACTGTGACATACCATTTACCTTTGCATTAAACTGTACTCAATAACATCAAAAGAGATCATTCACAAATTTTTTGGTTTTTTCAAGATGCAAAATTACTCAGACCAGTCTCAACAGCTGGCAAACAGGAACACGTTTACCGAGGCTGGTTTACTACCTCATCCTAGTGGAAGATCAATAGAAGGTAACTAGTGGAAGGTGAAAAGAAAGCCCAACTGCAAAAATATCAGACTAGGTATTTTTACTAAACCAGTAAAAGGCGAGCTGACTTGCATAGAGAGCATGTTATCAGGATGTACCTGAGAGGAGTCAATGAAATAAACCATAAAAGGCAGGACAGGGAACCCACACTAATGCTGGGTCAGCGTTTCTCCATTGCACCTGTCTGTAAGGTCCTACTTTAAAAGCTGGGTTCATTTATGGAGTCTCTTTTTGGCCTTGACATGCCTGGACAAATGTACTCTCTTTTGTTACCTGTACTCTCTTGGACTACAGCTTTTTTTCCTTCTGCTGCTCACTTGAAGCACTTTTCTGCTTTCTTAGTCAGATTAAAATATCAATTTTTACCAAAGTACCTACTAATACTCTAGCTGGCAGGATCCAGAACCACAGTTCCACAGTTATAACTCTGCAGACTATGGAATTCACATACAAGCAGGAAATCTAAAACATTTCTGGCACTTCAGCACTATACCTAAAGCCACTCTCTTTATCTTCATATTCAGAGTACGAATTTTATTATTAGTCTTCTTTAATTACTGCTCTGTGCATTAGAAATACAGCAATTTCACAATGAAAGAAAGTATAAACTGTCTATGTGGATGAAACTGTGAGTCTTCCATATATCAGAAAGTCTCAGCTTGCCTTTGATTTTGCACATTCCCTTCACTGGTTTTCATTACCATACTTTCAAATAAGTTTCACCTGCACATTTTTCATTTCCTGGTAATAAACAGTAGGGGGAATTTGATTTTATTTTTACAAATGTTGAACAGCATTACTGTGCCTCCAGTTATTTATATTCTGCTGTACTGAGCTGTCATTGGTTCAGCTTCATACCTACATACTCTGCAGGCCCAAGATGAAAGGATTAATTAAAAGTTCATCACAACTTCACATTAACCAAATGCCTGGTGAATTTGATCTAGCCCTAATAAACTGCTAGTCTTACAGCCTGAAAGGAACTTCACAAGGAAGCTCCCACCTCTCGTGGAATTTTGCCATTGACTTCCCTGGCAGCTCTTAGCTTGTGAGTACTTGTCTTTGTTCAGGATGTCTGTAAGAAAAGCTATTGCAATATATGTCTAGGTTTGAATTTAAAGTGATTATTTATTCTGCAGTGACTCCTCATGAAAACATTTATTCTTCACTCCAAGAAACAGCATAATCTAATTCAAAATATGCAGAACAAAGTGGTAGAAAGCACCGTGAGCACAGATTAACAGCTGCCTTATGGGAACCTGCTACTCTAGGCTTGCAGAAAAGATCCTCTTTAGTTCAGGTCATTTAATTTGCTATGTAAATTTGAATGGACAACATAAATGACTCACCCTAGAAATGACAAGAACCTTCAGAAATTGAGGCATAATCCAGTCTCAAACCACATGTGTAAAAGGTAATTTTCCTTATGAGAGAGAGATCTTTCTGTAAACCCAGGGATAGTTCTACTTTCCCTAAGGTATCTCTGACTGGCTGATGTAACAGTAACGACATCAGCCTGGACAGCTTGTAAGCGGGATGTGAGCTAATCTCTTGTTTGTCCTGGTGAACAGATAAGATGCATCACTGTACCCAAGTGTTTCTTTGAGTGTCAGATGAAGCATGCTCTTAATCATGTCTGCTGGCATGCCATTAAAATAGGCCTTATCTGACTGTAGTCCAATCGAGACAGTTTTGAGGAAAGACAAGAAAAAAGGGATTGAAAACCAAGAGGTATGACTTCATCTTAGTTGTGATTAGTGAATCGGGCCCTCAAAACCAAGGTAAAGGAAGTAAAATGAGATAACAACTATTTGAATACAGATACTACTAGCTAACACAAGGATTTGGGGAGAATTTTTAAAAACACTCATAAACTGACCATAAACTGTGTAGTAAGACATTTTTTGATCAGGTGGAGCAGTTGAAATGTCTATGAACAAAATAAATTGGGAAGAAACATTAAATATAACAAAAGCATGAAAATATTTTTAAGTTTAGTAAAAAGTGATTCCTCCAAAATGGATTTGCTGTCAATAAATATTGAAACTAAGAACTTCCTTACCATTCAGGGCTACGAAGGAATCTGAAAGACAAATAACAGGGGAAAAATAATTATTTGTATCTTGTTCTTTCTTTTAAGTAGTTTGCTGCTAATAAGCGTTAATGTTTCAGCTGATATTTACAAGCATGTGATTTGTACCCTAAGGACCCGGGCAAAACTAATGTTTAGACATACCCGAAAACAATGTCTGTCTTTGAAAGTGCTCACGACCAGCTCTGTACAGGACCTACTGAAGGAGAGAGGGCCAGCATGCCCCCTGCTTTCCTTGTAAATCCTAGTCTAAGGCAAGGCACTGCAGGGGATGCAGCCAGCAATGTGAGTCAATGAGGACAAAACTCAGGTGACCAAGATCACATGAAGTAATAAAATCTGCTGTGTTAGCAGGGAATGAAATCTACCCCTGTGCAGTGTCAAGGTTCAATGCACCATTCAGGGCTAAAGAGGGATTTGAGCAGGGCATGGGCTTTGTTGCTCTCTGCACAGAAGCAGATCTCTCTCCATGAGCACAATGTGCTCTTCCTGAATAATTTCCTACCCTCCTTTTACATGTAACTGATCTCAGGTACACTCCACTCCTGCGTAACCTATTTGCCCGAGGAGAGCAGAACTGGCTGAAAAGGGCAAAGATACACCAGCTGGGAGCTGGCCTGATTTTGGTGCTAACCCATTTTACAGGAGAACAGAGGGGAGGCCTATCGGTACACCTCCTTCAAAAATCTTTGCAATGGTCTGTATTACCCTATCTTAGGGCAGAGGCTGAAACCCTTGTACTCCTCCTAGCACAGTCATGAGAGTAATTAATGCCTCTTGAATAAGGATGCACAAGGCATGAGAAGGCTCAGGCTTTCCACAGAACATCTGGCCCACACCATGTCCCATGGCACAGTCTAGCCCTCTGCTATTTTCCTCTCTGTTGCAGAAGTAATGACTGTCTCAGTGTATATTGATTCCTCAGCTTCATCAGTTTTATTGCACCAGTGCAAATTAAACTGAAAAGAATGAGAGTCTTGATTTCATGAGGTTTTTAAATAATATTTGGAGCTCAGAATCAAACCAGTCTTGGTGAGAACATTTGGAAGAGGAGCTGTCCTGAACACAGATGTTGGTATTCCTGAAGGCTCAGAAATCAGCAAGGTTTCCTTGCATGCAGTGCAAGCTATGCACTTTTAAGCATTTCAGTACAAAGCCATAAATGTTTAAAGACTGTGTTTAATCTTCCAGCTCACGCTGTCAGTATTTAAGGTTTACCATTAAAATTTCTTAGGCAATGCAATAGTACCTGACCCTTAATACCATGAGGTTGTCCGGACTGTATGGAAAATTCCCTAAAATTCACAAACTAAGCAGTTGTCATTTCTTGATCCGGATCGAAAGCTGAAGATATACTTCTCTGTCTCACTGTGCTGCATGGGAATGTAGTCCAAGTCACAGACTACACCAAGAAACCAAGCCACTTCTGTACATTTACATAAACAACCCAACCACCAGGGCTAATAAAGACAATGACCCCAATTCATTATGCCATTGCTGTAATCAATATCCTCTAGAGCTGAGCTTTTCTTGTTATGCAACCACTCTGAAGTCCAGTGTTTGTATAAATCACATGAACTGGGCTATTTTCCTCAAATACATTTAAACAACAGTTCTTCTTGTGAACCTGCACCATTAGCTACATTGCTGTCCCTGTCATGGCTTATGTTGCTACAAAAGAATGCCTGACAGGTAATGGTGATTTGAGGCATTCAGAAGGATACTGTGACACATGGTAAATAGAAGTAAAAGCTTTGCTTACTTTGGCAGTCACCCAGGCCATCTGTATTGCCACGTTCTATGTCCTGCTCAAATGACAGTCTAAATAAGAGAAGGAAACAAAACAGTATGAATAACAACAGTCATAGGCTAACCAGAAAGAAATTATCACATGTTCAATTGAAATAAATCCCTGCTGTGAAACCGGCTATTTCTTTGGAAATTCCACACAAAGGCTGAAAAACCGCAACATACAGATTTGAGCTATTCATCATTGCTTAATGATTTCTTGGCATCTGATGATACTTTTCCTTTATATTATTACATTTTAAAAATCCACAGTATGCCTTGTTACTGAGGGAAGAAAAGACTTGCATTTTTTAAACTGTTAAATACAGGATGTTATCAGAAGCACCTGTAACCCTTCCTTAACCTGTGCACAGAGTAGATCAGGCGCACTGGCACTTTGGAGAGGGGAGGGAGCCAACCCACTGGGCAGGTACTGTGGTTGAGGAAGAAGCCTGAATTTCAGCAGTCACTTGGGTACGGCACCAGCTGAGGCTCAAGGCATAGTGTCCATCCCACAAGAGGTATTCCTTTTAACTCAGGGGCTCTACTGACAAACACTCACATGCTTTTCTAGCTGATGTGCTCAGCTTATGCTCCCAAGCTCTCTCTGTGATTTTGGATAACTATGGAAGCTGTTCTTCCAACTTCCTGTGTGGTCAAAGGTGAATGACAAGAACCTTGGAAAATTTCCAAATACAAGCCCTTGCCTATATTAGGATCCTGCCCTTGAGGCACAATTACCCTTGCAGACAACTCATTCTAGCTCGGTGTTCTTAAAGCACCTGCTCTACTGTCATCTACTCCTGGAGGACGAGTAACATCTCTGCCTCCTGTTGGCCAGCTTAGAACTTCACCAGATACCTTCACAGCTGATCTGGACCCCCTTCCTAAGCACTGGACAGAACATGGGCTGCCTTGATCTCTTTTGGACTTCATCACTGCAGGCTGCATAGCCTCTTTCTCGATGGATCTATTGAGGAAAGTGGGAGCTGCTCTAAAAAGTGAGGTATGGAAGCCTCCTACAACTTGCCATGGAAGTTGAAGAAGCCTCGAGCACTTTTTGGAGTTATGAAAAACCTGATAAGGACACAGGTACATTTTAACATTACCCTACCAAAAGTCATATCAGAAACAGCCCACACTTTTGTAGTCAAACATATACAGACATATACTGCTACAGCATCCCCAGCAGATGGTGGAAATCAGCAAATTAAGAACAAGACAGAAGCACAGTATGCTTGTCCATTATATGGTGAGGACCTGTAGAGAAGCAGGGTTAAGTGGTGTCAGATGTAGGGCTGTCAAGGCTCTGTGATGTCTGTGCTACACTTCCACTACTACCACGAGGGAGTACAGCTGATAGCTCAGAGTGGGCAGTCATGTGGTGCGTCAGAAGTGGCCATGAAATGTGAGCTCCGAAGTGGGTTTGCTCCCTGTAACCTTCCCAGACTTTCATTATCATAAAATAATTAAATTCTACTGTTAAGCAAGGGGAGATCCAGCACTTCTCTAAATCTGTTTAAAGCCCTTACTGTGCTCTGTTATTCCTCTTAGTAATGCACAGTAAATTAGAAAGACTGGTTTTGTTTTCAGTGGACAAATTACTTCAGTAATTTAATTTGGATTCTATTGCCTCTTTAATCAGCTGTGATGGCTCCAGTGTAGGCTGGTTCAGACATATCCATCCAATTCACTCCTTTCAATAATACACGGACCTTAATACAGCTCTTTCATTTTCTTCTTCCTCCTCTTTCAGCAGTTACCAATCAGCTGACCGTTCACATCAAAAAAATTTGCGAGACATTTTGGAGGTGAAAGCAAATAAGATAGAAACAAACACTTCCCACATTTTTCCCTCTCTAAAAGCCGCATGTTCCAAATAGCTTTGCCCAAGACTGCCTGGCACCACCGCCAGAGCTTCAGAGCCCTTCCAGCCAGAGCCCTTACTCACTTGGAGCCAAGGACCAGCTGCGCACACACCCCGCTCTCCTTCACCCATCCGCAGTACGGGTCCCTGGACGCTATGCAGGCCCTTGGGAGAGAAGAACACAAGGTGGCATTCAGGGGTGCTGCAGCCTGCCTGGTGCCCAGGCCCCTGACAGCCACCACCAAACACATACTTTTTGCACTTGCCGTGGCGCTCGCAGCGCCCCAGGGGCACCTTGATGACGCAGGTGGAGAAGGCGACGTACAGGCCGCTGCTGGGCCTGTCGAGCTGCAGGCCCATGATCCGCCTGTCCTCCATGCCGTCGTAGCTGCACCTGATTTGGATAAAAGTGGGATGCGGTTGCAACCGGGCTCTGCTGGGGGAAACCCTAACTGTCCCCCAGGCTGAAAAAAATAAGATCGCAAAAAGCTTCCGCCAAAAAATCCGTAAGAAAGGTAGAATTGAACGAGTCAAGGAGAAAAGAACACACAATAGCCACTGAAAATACTGACAGACATGTAAGTAAGTATTAAAAATGCATGGGATAGTTAAGAATTTGGGAGGAACAGCACACCAGAAAAGCTTCTGACGGCCCTTTGTTTTTGTGTTTATTCTTCTCCAGCACTCAAAGTAGCTGAAATTTCTGCATGATTATGGTTCACTTCAAAGCCCCCTTAGGCATATTTGAGGAAGACTGAAATGTGGAAAATTTCCCTTGGAGAGTAGCTTGCTGCTTGCTGAGTTATTTGGAGAGGAATCAGGGTTTTTTATAGGATTAGAAAATTAATCTTCCTTTCCAGAACTTCACTTTTAATTATCCATCAGCTGCTGCACAGGATGGGCTATTTTCTACACAGACTGAATAAAAAAATCTTATTGCAATGTAGAGACTGATAAGCAGACATCCCCTCCCTAAACAATTTAAAATTACCCAAAAAACCTGGCTTCTCTAACACTTCCGTTTCCATCGGACAAGCTATTCTCTGGGAAATCAGAAGTTCAAAGTCACCCATACATGAGTACAAAGAATCAGATACACACTTTTCAGGGTTGTAAACATTGATCTCCTCCAGGAAAAGGCTGTCATTTAGGAAACCAGTGTTTCCTGTCCGTGCCAAGAACTTCAGGATGATTCCCTTCTCTGACCCCAAGAAAACCACGGTATAGTTCTGATATGGCCCAGCAGCAGAGTCAACAGCAATTTTGGTCAGGCGATATCTAAAACAATAGAGCATTTTCACAGATAAATCACAGAGATAATCACAAAATTTTCATTTATTTGATCACTTTCTTCATGTCAGATAAGTGTATGGTAGATTTCTAGCAACCATAAAACACATTTAAGCACTTTTCCTACCTCTCTATAAATCAGCACAGACTATACCAATTTGGCTCCCCAAATTTTGGGGAATTTTCACATATTTGCATACCCACACATCCAATAGCCACCAGAAGTGCACAGAATTTCAGAACTGTCTAGACGTTCAGAAAGCTGAAGGGCTGCTAGGAGCCTGAGGCCATTTAGGAATTATCCTTTCAAAAAACTGCTGATTACTTCATACAGGGATAGAGAATTAGTACAGTGAATTGTTTTTAAAATTTCAAGCTCTGTAACATTAAAAGCAGCTGAACTAGGTTCAACTTGTTTTGTCAGGAAAAGCTGTGCCACTTCAAGAGTAAGATGCTAAACACCACTTTACCTCACTAAAAATAATCACACGACCACCACTGAGCAAGATCAGCACTGAGGTGAAATCAAATCTTGGGGTGACACAATTTATTGAAAACAAGTATACTGGTGGTTTAGTACCAGTTGGATGGTACTGCCTATCAAAGGGAAGCACTCTGTGGAGCTTGCTACTCTCATCTTTGGTTGGAGGCACAGAACCTGCCAGAAAACCTGACATAAGATACATTACTGTAACGAAGTCAGACCCTTCCACAGAACTAAGTGCCCAAAACAATATTCTACCTTTGTGCAGGGGAAGAGTGGAAAATACGGCAAAAGTTAGTCACATTATTCTGTACACTGCTGCAGGGTAGATAAGTAGTATAATGACCACAGCAGGAGTGGGAATGTATTTTGATAGGAAGGGGATGGTGTATTTAACACTTGCTGATTTAGGAGTCTTTGTTCGATCTGTTATTATTTTTTTCTTGTTGCTATAGAAAGGATGCAGATTAGGCAATTACTTCTGCCCTACACACTTGTGCAAACATTAAAGCTTACCAGCACATAACCTGACAGACATCTACATATCCTGTGAACATATCCTGGCAGAGTGTTTGTATCCTGTGTACATATTCCTGAGTTGTCTGCTGATCCTTGCCTGAAGTTTTTACTGAGCCATCTCAAACAATGACCCATAAGTCAAAAGGTGATTTAAGCCTTCCCCGCACAGCAGTTCCGACAACATCCGGCTTCAGCACAGGACAGTTGGAAAAGACTGAGGTCTTTCCTATCTTGAAAGCTCCTCAGGGAGTTCCGCAGCATCTGCTCAGCTCTGCCACCAATCCTAGCTGGATTCATGCCCAGGACACCAGGACATGTGCAGAGTTGGAGGGTATTGGAAGCAAGGCTGTTGGCACAACTTGGCAGCTACAGTGCAGACAGAGCTCACTCGGTGCACGTACCTGACCATTGTTCTCAGGAACCAGGGTCGGTTGACAATGGAGGGTACAGCCTCGTCCATCAGTGGATGTGTTTTGATGAAGTTCAGCGTATCATCTGGGAACTCATTAGATGTTACATATTTTTCTAATGATGTAGAGCCAGCACAGCAACCAGGCCTACATAAAACAAGACAGTAAAGCCAGAAAACTTATTTGACAGAGGGCAAGCTTCGTTTTGTGATGAAGCTCAAACTGCAATATGATGTGCTTTGCAGGAGTTTAACTTGGCAGAGGATCGATAAGTGTGGTGAACTTGTTCAGCACCTCAGGGGAAGCCTAAAATCCTGCTCTGTCCTCCATTCAAAAGGACTTCATGTGTCCCTTATGAGTACAAAGTAATTTTTTCATCAGGAGCACTACACACACAGTTTTGTAATTTATCCATTCATATGGAATGTAATCACAGCATGTGTGCATTTGGCTTGATGCTTCCCAATTGCACAGGTGTTTTCTGATCTGTAACATGCCTCATTGACTGCTCTCTCCTGGAATAAAAGAAGTCCCTATAATACAGTAGGAAGTTAATTTTTTTTAGCAGGTATGAAAAAATGCTACTTTTAGTCACATCTGATAGAAAACAGACTATTGAAGAAGACAAACTGAAGGGCATCCATGCAAAAATCCATTGTTTTTACCCTTTGTTCAATTTGGATGAGATGATTTAAGAATGGTAGCTCATTGAGAACTTTCATGGAAAAGTTATCTACCATTCTTTAACAACTTAAATGCAAATCTGCTCATGCTATTTCTAAAATCTACCTGCTCCTAAGATGTAGGGCAATCTTCTTGCCTGGACAGTCCATCTCTCAAAGAATCAGCAAAGTGTTTTGTTTGTTAATACTGTGTAGGTCATTTTCTTTAATAAAAGGCTAATTTGATCCCATTTTCCAGAGCACTGTGATTCTTCAGACCTTTGGGCTAGTGTGAGATGGGAAGATGAAAGATGGACCACTCACTCTGAAACACATTGCATCATCCAATTTTCATCTACTCTGTTGTGGGTAAAGGCATTGACATCAAGAGTAATGTCAACTTGAACAAAATACAGGACTGATCCTATAATCTGTGTTGCTCAGATTTAGATAAATATTCAAATATTAGGTAAACAAATCTTGTGTGGGAAGGGAACATAGGACTCAAAGGAACTAGTTGTGTCAACAAGTCTGGTCCCACAAGAGCTGAACAAGGAACATTACATGCAGACAGTGTGTACTCTTGCCTCCTCATATCCAAAATACTTTAGCTATCTTGTAATTGCATGTAGAACTAGCAACAGATGGAGAGAAGGACAAATCAAGGGCATGATTGGTTTCCTAGGTCCTTGCAAGGGCATTGACCCATGAGACAGCATTCCCAGAGAAGTCGAGGGAACAGCCTGGCACCTTCTGGCACCGTGGTGTCTACGATTTCTGCGTACCTAATCTGGAGGCCTATTTACTCCTAAATCCTAATAGCATGATTGGATTAATCCTGTTCTAATCTCAAAACTGGTTTAGTCGAGTCAACATAAATCCCAGCAAACCTGCTGTTTGGCCAAACAGGGAAGTGACACCTCGGAAGGGCTCTGGTAGTTTTCTGAGTAATGTATCATTAGGGGCAATGTTTCTGCATCATCCTGAGAAAGCCAGATAAAAATGCCCTTATTTCAAAGGTGCCTGTCATATATTTCAGCATGAGCTAGAAGTAATGATTATTTCTATTAAGCAGATTGATTGCTAAATATTACATGAAACACTGTTCACTTCAGATTATGTCCTTCAGGCTTAGAAAGAGCAATATTATCTCATCTCCATCATAAAAGTTAGCCTGCTATTGGCTCATCCCAAACTTGTAATGCAACTTTCTGTTCTTCTTTCCCGCTTTCCTCTTCTTCCTTTCCCCTTCCCTGACAATATATCTCAGTAAGGTCCAAACAAATAACCTTGAAGTCACCATGCAGCCTTGCACCCCCAAGGCAGACCATTGTAGTCAGCAACTTGTTTGAAACACTGCAAAATGAAGAAGAAAAATCCTGCAACACTGCTAGAAGCTGCATTACTAAGGCTCAGACTGAAAACAGACACAGGATTTACCAATTTTCCAGTCACCTTCAAGCTCTTCTCTTGAATGACAACTTCAGAATACAGACAGCACAGTAATACTACACTTGGCAAATCCAAAATATGATGGACTTGGCAGAAGCTCAGTGTCCACCGTGGAGCTTCATAAACTCATAGAATATTGTGAGCTGGAACCAACCCAGAAAGATCACTGCAGTCCAGCTCCTGGCCCCACAGAGGGCACCCCAGGAATCACACCATGTGCCATGAGAGTGCCATGAGTGTATTTCCTGAGCTCTGTCAGACTGGTGCTGTGACCACTTCCCTGGAGCCCAAGCTCCAGTGCCAAACCACTTCCCTGGGTAAAGAACCTTTTCCTAATGTCCAACCTAAACCTCCCCTGTGTGACACAACCTCAGGCCATTCCCATGTATCCTGTCAGTGGTAACCACAGAGAAGATATCAGTGTCCACCCCTCCCCTTTCCCTCATGAGGAAGATGTAGATTGGATGAGGTCTTCCTCAGTCTCCTTTTTTTCAAGCAAGACAAGCAGCCTCAGCCACTCCTCACATGGTTTTCCCTCTAAGCCCTTCAACATCTTTGTAGCCCTCCTTTGGATACTTCCAACAGCTTTATATTCTTCTTATATTGCGGTGTTCAACACTGCACGGAATACTTTGGATGCTTTTTTCTTTTGAAATTATTTAAGCTATCACAAGCAATGTAAAACATGCAATAGAGGGGCAAAGCTTAAGTGAGATAAATGAATTTGATTTATCTATATGCATCTCAATATCTCAGAACAAAATGCCATTGGTGTCAATGAGTTAACAAGTGCCTGTCAACAGCAACTTGTTTGAAATAGTACTCGTAAGAAATATGAAGAATGTAGTAGAGGAGATGCATGCAAACACGTGGAAGTGGGGAAAACAACTCATAGGAGGAATGAAGTAAACTGAATCTCTAGTTTGGTGGAATGCTCTTTTTTGCTCTCCATAAATCATCCACTGTGGCACTTAAACTGCATGTTAATCATAGAACAGCAAACTGCAGAACTGGTGCAGGCTTTGTAATGAGATATATCTGTTACTGAACCAATTTACAATAACTGTGTAACTCACACCATTCTTAAGTGATTATTCTGACCAAGTGAATCTCATGCTGGCCTGATATATGTTACACAAATGTCATTTAAGTGGAAAAATCTCTATTGCATAGTTTAGATCCAAATTCAACTCAACTTTTACTTTATTGTTTCAACATGTATAATTGTATCTGCACCTTACAAGGCTGTTCAAAATACCAAAAAGCCTCTGTAGCCTGTATGAAGGAACTGAACTGAAATATCACTACACATGAAACATACCTGGGCTTGGGCACTCGTTCATCAGGAACTGGTGTCCATGTGGAGTCTGGAGACTTTTGTTCTTTGAATCTCCCAGTAAATACATTGGCAATATCAAGCATGTCATAGGCACAGACTGCAGAGCCGGGGATGCTGCAAAGTGACATTTCCCAGAAGTTGTTACTCATTCTGCAGTTATACATAAAACCTTGAGCAAAAAATATGCTCTTATAGAAGCCTTCCTTTACTCAATACTGAACCCTAAATCTGGTATTAACAGGAAAACCCAGTCCCATGGAAAAGCCTGAATACCAGTCAGCAGGCAGCTACTGCCAAGAGAATTTTATTCAAAGTTTCACAGAAAGAAGTAATTGCAATAATCTTGAAGAAGGGAAAGAATCAGTCAAACTTTGTCTATCACTGGCAACACATGAGGAGAAATTGCCCATCTCATTCAGAACCCACTACTTGGACATTTAAAGTCTTCTAAGTCTTAACATCTCTCAGTACCAACTCTTGTAGTCCCTGCCATGCCTCAAAAAGGACATTGCAGATAATTCAGAAATTGGTTCTAATCAAACTGGAAGCATGCTGCAATGTGCAATTTACCCGGCTTTTACATGTAATTCATTCATGCTCCCAGAGCCTGATATCCACAAAGTGTTCCCAATGAAAAGGAGTTGACTATGCTCAGGAGTTTGGTCTACTCAATGAAATGAAAGAGCTTATAGAAACAAATTTGATATTATTTTAAGATCATAACATTGCAAATTTCAGGTTTTTGGATACTTGAATGGAACTGCATAACAGCATTGTCCAGACATAGGTAATTTCTTACCTACATACTTTTTGAAAGGCTTGTGGGTTTAGCATGATCAGTCACTTGGAACCATGAAATATTAATTTCTCGCCTATTTTTTATTTATTTTGTACATGAACTACTGTATTTGTGTCTGACTCCCACCACTTGATTTTATTGGGTAAATAGCATGAACCCAGCTGGCTCAGGCTTTCAATCCTGCACTTAGCTAGTAGGTTATTATACATCAAAGAAAAAATGTAGGAACTATAATACTGTTACAGATGATTAAGCTAAACTCCTAAAGGTATATAAATTGATAGAAAAACAATCATTTGAATAGTAAACAATTTCAAAATGTTTTACTGAAGAAAAACAAGTTGAGAGACAGTACAGTAGTTTTATTTTTATCTCCACAGATTTATCTTTTTATATAGAAGGAAACTTCAAAGCTCAATATTAATGTGATTCTGCACAGCAGGAGTTTTAAATTTTAAAATTTATATTTTTAAATATAAAGCCATATATATGTGGATGTAAGAGATGGTCAAGGGTACATTTGGCCACAAAGAGGACCTCATCCTAAAATACAGCTCAAAACCCACTCCAGCTAGAATATTTTGCACATTGGTGAATTAAGTCCTTAACACAAAAAACCAACCATAAACTCTGGAGGTGTGTCACACACTACTACAAGTGCTCAACACACAACTACACACGGATGGAAGCATTGCTGTGCTCAAAGGACTGCAACATCTTTTACTCGTGAGGGTGACAGATTACAGCTCTGTAGTGTGATGCCGTGGGAAGGATGGAGCACTGTGAGTCACAGCCAAGGAGGTCCATCCCCCTACGAACTACTGGATGACAACTCAACACTAGTTTCTACTTGAGTGACCTCTGATTAGACTGAGGAATCTCTTCCACTCCAGTCTAGAAGGAAACTTTGTTCTAGAGACCAAAGGTGTTTGTTTCAACATTTCTTTAGTGGAGGAGGAATAAGAGATGCATTTATGTCAGAAGTAGGTTTCATAGAACTACAGAATTACAGAATATCCTGAACTGGAAGTGACTCACAAGGATCATTGAAGTCCAATCCTCCTGCAGAGAACATCCCAAGAATCACACCATGTGCCTGAGAGCATTGTCCAGATGGTCCTTGATGTCTGTCAGGCTTGGTAACTTCCCTGGGGAGCCTGCTCCAGCACCCAACCTCAGGGTGAAGAACCTATTTTTTCTAATATCCAACCTAAACCTCTATGACTCAGCTTCCTTGAGTCCTCTTACAGGCCACCAGAGAGCAGAGACTGGTGCTTGCCCCTCCTCTTCACCTCATGAGGAAGCTCTGAACTGCTGTGAGGGCTAAACAAGCCAAGGGCCTCGTTCACTCCTCATACAGCTTCCCCTAAAGTCCTTCACTGCCTTCATTGCTCCCCTTTGGATGGTCTCTGATATCTTTAGATCCTTCTAATATTGTGGTACCCAAAACTGCCCCCAGCACTCGAGGTGAAGCTGCCCCAGAGCAGAGTGGGACAATCCCCTCCCGTGCTTGGCTGGAGATGCTGTGCCTGATGCTCTCCAGAACATGCTTGGCCCTCCGGGTTGCCAGGTCTGCTAAAAAGCTGTGTCCAAGAATAAATATATGCTTTTCTGTCATCTTCCATGTCTGGCAAAACCTGCAGCCTATAAAACAGTATTTTGCTTTTTACACCAAGTACTTAGATTCTAAAATGCAATCCTTAAGGAAAAGAATTATTCATGAAACACCACAGGAAATACTAGCAGAGTGGGAGTACAATCTCAATTTTGAGATAATTGGAAGATACAATCTATTTTCTGATGTTGAATCTCTATTTGTTCACCTGTATTTATTAAGCCAGATTGCATGAAAAGAGATCAACTTAATTTAAGCTGGTATTCTCTATTGGTGACATAATTACTCCATTGCAGTTTTTGATGTCAAAAGTGGTGATTTTGCATTACAGATCCAGGCTCTCATTTGAAGTAAGTTCTGTGAATGACCTTACTGAGGTCAGGCTTTGACAAGGGGTGGCAAGGGTACAGCAAAACTAAATAAATTTCAACAATAAAATTCCTCTTTTAGCTCAAATGTTACTGTGTGAAACTGCGATATACTTTTTAATTAGAAAGCGACTATTTTTTAACTTCTTTGGGAGTTCTCAATAATTACACACAGTTACTCCTCTTAAAACTTGCAGAGAAATAAGCCAAAATGTGTAACAGTAATAAAATCTCTACAGATGAATCGATGCTTTTGGATAACCACGCAAACAATGAAATAGGTGTTCTGGGGACCCTCCTTCCCAGCCAGCAAGACCTTGGCTCTCCCAGGAGAGTCAGGGGGCAGCAGGGTCAATGCACGGTCAAAGATCAATGCAAGAGTCACAAGGGATGCATAAAACAAAAAGAAGGAGATAATATGGTTCTTGGAGGTTTAGCTACAGACAAGACAGACACAGTCCTTTCTTTGTGAGGAAAAAAATACTGTATTTTCTGTTTGGAATAATATTCTGCAAGTTACACACTGAAACACTTCTTCTGGCTGGTGTAAACTATTCCCTTGTAAAGAAAAGTACGTCTGAGGAATGTGTCCAGATAGTAAATGGCTGAAAGCCACCCTAAATTACCAGGTGGGAAGTAAGCAATAGCAGGATGCCTTAAAATTGAACACAAGCTATTGCTAAGTGCAGGGTACAAAATAATTATGTTGTACGAGCGATCTCTTCTTGCGCTTGCATAAAGTAAAAAGGAACTGCAGTGAAAAGCAAAACATAGAGGAAATAGAAGGTAAAATGTTACTGTGGCTATTACCTATTATATGGAGTGGAGAATGTTGCTAAAACAACATCCCGGCCATTGAAATGGATAACATCTGTGACCGACTGCAGTATGTTGAAGTAGAAGTGTGAGTCGCCAGGAACTGAGCAGTTCAGCCGAGCCTTGAGAAAGGAAGTCCACTGTTTTTCCAGCACTCTCTGAGATCCTCCCATGTCATTTTTGCAAACCTGGGCCACCCTTGGGAAAACTACCTGGAAGGAATAGAGCAAAAATAATGGAGAAAATTAAATGTTTGCTTGACCTAAAGTCTTCGTTAGAATACTGCTTTTAAAACATTTGGAATAACACAGCAAGGTGCTTAATTTAATACCACTTTTCTATAATCTGGGACAAATAAGAAACAGAGAAAAATTAAGCTTTGGAACAGTGTGCTATGAAAGATAAGACTGTGGCATTTACTACACAGCCATAAATCCTTCAGGAGATCTGTTCTCAACCCATATAAAATTCATTTCCATACAGACTGCTTAGTTTTCTATTTCCCCAAACAAAAGCACATTTCATATTCACAATCCTTGCAACCCACACTGCTGCTCCGATTCTTGTGTTTTCAGCACTTAAAAACTATGCAAATCTTGCTGGGCTTTTATTCCTGCTCTCCACCTTTGTGACCTTGGTCAGCTTTTCTGACTGCTTAGTCAGAAAGCTATTGTGAAATTAGCAAAAATGCAGAAAGTGTTTAATTATTCTTTGCAGAATGGCAGAGCACAAAATTCCTACCATTGTTTACTCAGCACCCTAATTCATATTTCTTAGAGAAAAATTTCTTCCTGCTTTGGAATCTGTTTTTAACAATTATCTACTGTGTTGAACTAACAGGATTAGCCTTGTGGTTTCTATAATTTCAGAAAAGAAACTCTAGCATACACCATCACTGTAAGAAACTACACATTTTCCTTTCAAGACAGTGCAATGTTTTACTCCAGCCAACCTTTTGGCTTGAGCAATAGGAATCTTCTCAAAATGCTGACCTTGTCATCATGATTTATGGTTCTCATTTCAAGGTCACTCGTAACAGCACTGGTCCAAGAATAGCATAAATTTTCCTCCTCCTCAATCCGACAAAGTCATTGAAGGCAGTGTTTTTGCCCTTACCTTTCCCATGCTGTTGTACTCCACTGCTATTTCCCGGAAGAAGAAGTATATGTAATTGCCATAGTCAACTGCCTGGACAAAGTACGGCTCTAGGAAAAAAAACAGCAACGCAAGACACCTGATTTAGGCACCACGTACAGGATACAGAATGCAAAGAGAGGCCAAACACATTCACATATAACATCCAGAGGTGAAATAGCTGTGCTTGACAAACTTGATCAGCTTTCAGAACAAACAAATCACTGCTGCAGAAGAATCGCTGTCTGGGGACAGGAGAGCTGGGAACAAGTCTGTACAACATCACTGCAGGGTAGTTAAGTCTCTGCCACTAATATGTCTGCCCTGCATGGAGTAAGAGGAAAGGTAAACAGGCATTTATAACTGTATGCCTGAGGGGTCCAAGCAGTGCTCTTTAAGGCATGCAGTCTGTGAGCTGAGGGAATAACAAACCACGTAACTGTTTCTGCCCACACGTGTCTGTAGCAGCAAGCAAAGTGGGACAGCTAAAGTTGACACCTGGCAAAACATTTCTGCATGCAGAAAAAGACTTGAAACTATGGCTTTGCTCTCTGTTAAAATCACTCCAAATGCTAACAATTCTCAACACCTACATGAAGCTAAACAGCACAATCCTTAACAAAGAGGGCATTTAGAGCACAAAAATTGCCTAATTCAATGGCAGCAGTACAATCCTTAAGAACTGTAACAGAAAGGCTTTGTGCAATATTCACACAATTTTAGTTTCATTAATGAATCTTAGCATTACAGGACAAACCTTCTATACTTCATAAAGCCTTGATTGTTACCTAACAGTGCTGTGGCAGGAATATTTACAAACACAGCACAAGCACACAGAGCCCTGCAAGCTCCAGCTTTTCCATCCAACAGATATAAACTGGTGGATTTAATCTTGGAAAGCTCACTGGAATATATATTCTGATCTACCCAGCTCACAGCTTCTGTCAAATCCAGTATCTTTGGGTCAGGAGAAGAGTGAAAGAGATAAACAGAGCTGAGTAAGCAAGCGAAGTAATCTGCTTCCTTCTTTCTGCCAGAAAGCATTGGTGAAATGAAATGACAAAGAGGTCTGTCAGAAATCCAAGGCTCTCATCAGAGATGCTGCTTTTTTTGTCTTGTTTGTTTATCTACCTTTCAACCACTTGGAGTCATGTTTAACTGTCCGCAGGGTTGGGCTGTCTCCCAGGCTCCGGTATATGACCGCGTCTATCGCGAGGAAGTCGGTCACTGTGGCGGAATACAGCTTTCCCTCTGGGGTGGAAGGAAAGAAGAAACCAGGGGGGAGGAGCATTAGAAATAGTAAAATTGCTTCTTCTTTCACCAGTCAGATGAGAAGGGGAAACAAAACCATCACAGTCTCCTTAGGAACACTGAAGGAAGGAAAAAAATCCAGCCAGGTGAATGGAACTGAGTAACCAACAAGCAACTCACTGCTCTGCAGAATGGTAATTTCAGAGGGATGCTGCGGAAGAAAATAACCTTATGGATTAATTCTTCTTCAGTTTAGGTATGTCATACTGAACTACCCTATGCAGTCACATGTCACTAGTTCAATGCTCAGAAATTCTGCTTAGGTATGTCAGCAAAACAAACATAACAGAACTGCTAGTTTCAATGGGAGTGCAAACCAGACAGGGCTTGGAGACCGTCAGCTAATTGATGCTTATGAAAATTTCTCCTCTTGAGAGCACTTCTGCTCTGCCAAAGATCACTATGAAAAAATTAACTAACATGTTGGGAGCCCTGCTGAAACAGGGAGGAAAAGAGATGGAGGAGGATTGCCCATCAATATTTCTTTTCTAGCATGCATTTTAGGCATTTCCCATATGAATTATGCATTCCTCTCTCTTAAAGAATGGAGGATAAGTGATAAGAAAGGGCCTACAAAATGGCACTCCAAGGACAACCAAAATATACAAAACTATAAGGACATAAAAGCACAAGCTTCAGCAATTTTAAAATTTTATTTGTTGTCTACTTTGTTTGCAGGTCATGTTTTCATGTGTGACATAGAACTTGGAACATGCTGTCTGCTGGAAGCACAAGTGGTGCAGCATGAGCACACAAAATTATTTCTCTATTGCGTCTGCATAAAAACCAGAATTGTCTACATCTTGTTTGACAGAGATTATGTTGGTGCCTTGAAGGCACCAGGACTAAGGACATTCCCAGGATAAAGCAGAGAGGTCTCTATTGGTCAAGCTCTCCTCATTATACTTTCAGACTTAGACTGAGAGGGAATTGATGCACACAGCTATCGCAAAGGCGGATGCCAAGAGGAGGCTGCTGGACTCTTTTCAGTGGTGTCCTGCGACAGGATGAGGAGCAATGGCCACAAAGTAAAGCTCAAGAGCTTTCCTCAACATGGGAAGAATTTCTTTACATTGAGGGTGGCAGAGCACTGTAACAGCCTTTCTCTGGAGGTTGTGGGGTCTCCCTCTCTGGAGGCATTCAAGTCCCACTTGGACACATTCCTGTGTCACTTGCTGTAGATGACCCTGCCTTGGCAGGGTGGGTTGGGCTGGATGATTTCCAGAGCTTCCTTCCAACCCTAGAAACTCTGTGAGTTTGTGAATTTCAGCTCCAGAATTAAAATTCAGACTGTTTTTTATTAGCAGTACTGTATGCTTTGTTCTGACTCATGCAGTTCTTGTCCTTATTTGGCCACTTAAGAATGATAATTTTTTCTTAGCAAAACAGAAAAAATAATTACTACATGTGTCCCCCTCCCTGATTTAAAATAGAATAAAAAGCTCAAGTTTTTAGATATGGATGTCTGAACTCATGTTTATACAACTACACTCTTATTTTCTTTCCCGCCAAGTTCCTGTGACCAACTACAATTTGCACATATCAGCTGCAATAGCTACAGGCTGCAAGAAGAGCCATACTCAAGTAAGCGCATCCAACAAACTCAGATAACTTGGATTAGTGCCCTAAACTGTTCTGAAATTGCTTTTCAATGCACTCTGAAAGGTTAGCATGGGTATCAACATGTAAGACACATATAGCAGTGATTTTTTGAAGCTAGCAGATTTACAAGGCATATTCTACAAATATTTATTTGAACTGTATCAAATTTATTCTGAATCACCATGAATATTTCTATAAATATTCTCTTTATTTTCAAATAATTCAAGGATTTCTTCAGTGACGAATTTGGAGTAATCTTTCTGAACTTCAGCTACATTCAAAGTGAATGTTTACAATAGACTGGTCATAAACTCTTTCTTGGCCAATAAACTGAGACAGACCCTTCTGAAAGGTCATTCAGGCTGCACGAAGGCTAGGGAGTCTGAGATACATGGGAAAAATATTCCTTTGAAGGAGTTTCTCTATTTCCATGCTTTATTAATTACTTGCTACAGTTAGAGAATTTCTACTGTATATTCCTGCCTGTGACTGTAATTAAGAAATCACATTCTACCACTATCATCATCACTATTATTGGAACAAAAGGACCATTTATTTGCATTATAAAAAATAAAAAAAAATTGAAACAGGTTACAAAATCTCTCCTTTGTGAGGCAGATGATGATTCCTCAAACATGGTAGTGCTTAATAGAGCCCTTTGGCTATAGACTTGTTTGAGAACAGCTTAAATCTTAAATCTTCAGAGGAATAGCTTAGTTATTTCCATGTGAGCACCCAGACTCTGTTTTATAGCATCACACCTGTTGAAGAAGGCTGACATCATCATGGAGGATGTTTTTATTATTTGCACCACTTATCTATCAGCCAGATCTAAGAAAAGATCAGCAGGGTTCACACTAGGAGAAGTTCAATAAAGAGATAATTTAATCAGAAATTTCTAACAACATATAAAAAATACCATACAATCAACAGCCAAAATTAACTCAATTTATAAGATTTCACTTTTTCTAACTATTGTAGTAGAAATCAGAATTAACACTGTTATGCTGCATGCAGCATAAATCACCACCAGCCAATACACTTCTCTCCTTTTGTCTACAGCAGCTGATAAGATCATAGTAAGATGTTTTCAGCTTAAAAAAAAAAAAATCACCTCCCCTTTCCTTCTAGATCTAGAAAAGGGCATGCCACAGCATTTTCCATAACTTCCTTTTATTATGAATGTTAGCTTAGGCTTAGAGTTGTTAATGAGCATATCCTGCTTAATCCTAATTAAAGCTTACATAAGCCTTGACTTCCTTTGACGTTCACAGAAGCTGAATGCAGCCAAAAATGGTGCCACACACAGGCCATATTATCAAGAATACAGGATATACTGAAATATTGATCCATGAAACTGAGGCTTTATGCAATGTTGATGACAGCGAAGTTAATTCCAAAGAGGGGAAGGCTGGTTTCGCTAGGAATTTCCTTATGTCCCCTCTTTTCAGTCAGTGTTTACTCTGTTTGACACCATCTAGATTTAGGCATTCTGGGCTCAAGCAAGAGGCACAGTGTTACACCAAGCCTGGGCTGAAGGACAGAAAGTAAAAAGTTTATCACTGTCATTTTACCTGCAAACAACGCAACGTTGGCATGCTTTGCATCATAGGGGCACCTGGCCATTCCACTGAATTCTTCTTCCAGATAGTCCAGGGTGTCCATCTGAAAAATCAAAGGGAGCTCCTCAGGTAAAGAAACAAAGAAACAAAATTTCTTACCCAGGATGATGCTTTATGACAGTGTTTCTTCTTTTCTGGGCCCAGGAGAAGGCCCTTACTCTAACTCTACTCCTGACTGCGAAGGAAAAACTTGACAAAAAAAATCATGGAATTAAATAAAAAAAGCCTGAAAAAAGTATGTCCAGTAAGTCAGGCATTCTTTTGGAGCTAATAATTCTCACCCTGACACATTTTACTGAAATCTTCAGTCTATATTTTATCTGCACACAAGTTTTGTTTTGAACTGTAGCAGGCCATGTGGTCTGTGGTTCTGGCAAGGATCCAAAATTTATCCTCACCAGTGACCCAACAGAAGCACTCTTATATACAGAAAAGACTGCAAACCACAGCATTCCGAAGAAACAACACTAGGACAATTATCTCTGTGTGCATTTTTCTCCCCCAAGTCCAGAGTTCTGCTCTAGTCTCAATAGTCGTGCTCTCTTCCTTGATTTGCATATTCAGAAAGATGCTCTTCACGTTTTTCTATACCAGTTGAGTCCATGTCACAGAGAATCCTCTTACCATCAAGCAAGAATTAATCTGTGCAGGAATTGTAAATTCTGAGGCTTATATGTAACTCCTGGGAAATAAATTCACCCTGAGCACTGATAACGACACAAATATACAGACTGACTTTACATGAAGTTCAAGAAGGTTTGGTGAGCTAAGGGAGAATTGTACACCTGTTATGCCTTTAAGATGCTTATGCTACAGTGTTTTGAGAATAAGAACCTATGTAGCATATTCAGGCAACTTGTCCATCTCATACTCTATAGATTACACACAGTAAAGATTCACAGAGCATGACAAATAACCCACACAGCACCATCCACTTAAATAAACTTTTAATTTGTGTGTTACAGCTTCCAAGTCCTTCAGTGGATGATTTGTGATCATTTGTTTTCTGTCATGTATCCCTTCTGTCAAAGTCCACTCTGAGGGCAGTCAGTTGTGTTTACTCAAAGGCTGAAAAGCATTTCACATGATAGTAAGAGGAGATGAGTTAGAGTCCTGAGTAACTCTTCCTGCACCAAGCTCCACAGGCTGGGCTCACCCTCACAACCACTGGCACACCTGAGGGACAGCCCTGCTTTCTGTTTGGCACACATTCAGTTCTCTCTCTGGATAATGAAGGAATACATGGAGGAAAAGCCAGGGCAGGTGTTGCTTCTGAAGACTGCCAGGGGGATCACTATCCAGCCCTGCATCACAGGGGACGAAAACTCTGGAGTAAGGGGGAGGAGGCCATTTATATGCCTCACACCAAGATGTCAATGAAATCTACAATTGTATCTAAAAGACAACTTCCACACAAGGAGACTGGCTGATATTTGTAAGCCTTATTAATGGAATTCAGAGATTAAAAGTTAAAAATTGCAAACCGTAGTAGAAGAATAAATACAGCCCAGTGATCAAGAAGCTTCATTGCATACCAGGAGCAGGCAAGGAAAGAAAGACTAAAAGAAACAGCTGTTAGAGTAGCTAACTGTACCTCAGAGTTACCATGACACAGGCTTGTATTCTTACTCAATTTGGTTATTCCTCCACAGACTGGAAGAAAAAACTACCCTGCACTTCTCTCCTGTGTTTTCTAAACTGCAGCCATTATAGTGGCTAAATGAGGCAAAGCATCATTGCACAAAAATCAAGGAAGACCACCAGTCACAGTGAATACCATTAGGGAAGTAGTTTTCCTGGCTCTTAACATCTTTATTCTGTTTTTTTCCAATAACTCTGAACCCAAAACCTAAATGGCAGTTGTAATTTTGTCAGGAGCAGCATTACTAAAAGTGAATTTTATTTCTCCAGAAAAAAAGATGAGAAATTACATGTGGGACATAACAGCGCCTAGAAAAGCAGAGTCTGGATGTCAAATGCCTAAATAAATTAATTTCAAAGCTACTCCGGAGACATCCACTGTTGGGAGTTATATCAGAATATAATGGTAAAACCCTAAGAAAATGGGAAATATTTCAATAAGTGGGTCCTACTGGAATGAAGACTCCTGAGATACACTATGCCTAAGGAATAAATTGGCTTCAGGGCATTAATGTCAAGTATGCAGGGACCAGCAGAGTTTCTACACTGCTCCAAATAATGTTTTGGCTTTGCAGATCCCCAGCAAGTGAGGAATACTTCTCTGTCCTGCTATACTGCTCCTTGCGGAGATCAGCTGCTCCATCACTCCCACAGCACACAATGCCATAGGATCTCCATAGCATCCCTATCTTGGGGGCTCACAAGAAACTCAGGTTTTGCTTGCTATGTCCCCAGGCTCTTTCAGAACTGGTTTTGCACTTGAGAGCAGTAGAACAGAAATTTTAGAACATGCTACTCAGCAGTAACCCCCAATATTAGTCTATGACTTGATGTGAGTGTCAGTGACAAGCTGAGGAACTTTCTGAGGTGGGACTACAGCCCCCAGCAGGGATCTGAAGGACTCTGTACCTATGGGGGGCAGTGCAAAGTGGCAATACTCTTGATGTGCAGGAGTTGCAAAGAGCCAGGTACTCAGTCTGGGATTTTCTCGGAAATCCAATCAACACTGAACTCGGTAGCGCTGAAACAAGTCAGGACAAACGTTTCAGAGTTGAATGGTGCATAGGTGAAGGACAATCTCACGCTGCTGCCAACATAGTCACAATAAATCCAACCAAAAGACAAGGCATAAGTGAAATTCTGCAAACAGATTACATACCTTGTAGTTCCTGCAAGAAGGGTTGAATGCATTTGTTCCACAGATAAACAGCGTATCCTCATTTCTTTTTAGGAGAACCTTAATAAAGTTATGACATTCATCCTGAAGAAAAATAATAAAAACTATTTCAACTACTGCATTTTGAGTATCTGTTTTCATTTTTAAGCAGTGATATTTCACAGGTTTAAAATTAAATTGGCTGGTACCTACTGCGATACTCTGGCCCTATTTTGACTATGTTTAACTAACAATGAGCAATTTGTAATTAATTTATATTCTAGTGGCTTAAAAATTACAAAGAGCTGAAGATAAAGCATTCATATTGTAGCTCCCAGTTTGCTGTTGTTGACAAAGGTGAATTTTGTTTGAAAACTGTTGCTTTCCTGAAGAGTGAAAAATCTGATTTTGTCACCTGTGCCACTGTCAGACAGTGACATCAGCACTACAATGCGCTGGCATAAAGCTTCTTTAACTAGAAGGGGAAGTAGATGTAAAGAATCAAAGAGTCTGTGTCTAATTATGATACTACTTATGCCAGTCAGAGGTTCCAGGAGGGTGAAAGTGGTGTGAGAAACAGTCCTTCTTACAGCCCCACACTCATCTTTTCTGATGCTTTACCTGAACTCCTCAGTAAATTCCCACAGGGGGATGGACAGCAGCACTTGGCTTTTGAAGCAATGGTAAGCAAAACTGCTACACTAAGCATTGAGACCTGCTCCATGACTTAAATATTTCGGGATATTGCTGTGGCTTCTGTCCTAATATTTTATCACATTTGAAGTGAACTATTTTTGCAAATTAAAGCCTTCAGTAAGTTGATGGAAAAAGCAATTACTGGTAAGAAGTGAATGGCAAGATCCATTCCACATCACAGACAGCAGCCTGAGATAATAGTGATGCAACTAAACTGAAGTGGCAGTTGCAGAAGAAATGAAAATTGCCTACCTTATGTTTTCCCTTCATTCTGCATGTGTCTACATCAGCTTGTCTAGATTTCCATGTCAATTTCTGCAAGAATAAAGAAAGAAATCAATTAGAACTCAGAGGTTTTTCACATTTGATTTCAGAAGTAGAAGTCCCGTAGGGGAGACCAGCTTTTGAACATACATTTATTGAAAGTTTTCTACTCTTTATCCATGATTAATCGACCACAATGAAACAATGGAAATTCAGTGATGTGGATCGTTCGTTAACTTTGTTTTGCCTCTAATTCATGGTACTAGAAATCCATCCCTCTTACTTAAAAGCCTAAATGAACAGAATTCAACAATAGGTAAACTTTGAAAAATGTGTATTTTTCTTAAAAGTAGTAGATGTTCTCTTCTTTTAACTGATATTGCTCTACAAATCAGAATTATGATTTATGGACTATGAACCGTCACTGGATTCTAAATGAAATATACATTCCCAAAGACAACATTTTAGATCTGGAAAGAAATAAAATTCAGGTACTTCTTACCACTTCAATTCAGCTACCAAGCTCCAAGAGCTTTTCACCTGCCAAGACACTGCTGACTTTATCTCCAGATGGATATGTTTCTCCAGAAGATTTACAGCTAAATCCCAGCCAGTTTTTTTGGTTTTTGAGATGAGTTTCAAAAACGGTCAAAAATGGAAACCTTATTAATTATAACGAAGCTTTGTTTAAAGCCACATGGCCTAAGATGGCATCACCTTAGACATTATTGCCTTGATAGTTCTGACAGTGTTCCTGATGAGTAAACTGAGACACTGTGCATTCATGGGGGGGTCCAAGCTGAAAGAGTAGCCATGAATGTTCCTTTCCATTGTAAGCGTGCGCCCTCACTCTTTGATGAGTTAGAAAGCTCACTTTCACCATCATACACAGTTATAATGAAGCACTGTCCCCTCCTCCAGTGGAATTCATCCAGTGCCCAAATTTTTATGATCTTCTGTCAGACCAAGGTTGTGTTCAACATATGTTACACAACATGAATGAAGTGCAAAGGAGCTGAAGGGAGATTATTTTCAGTATGTTTCTGTTAATATACAATGCAGTAATGCAGACAAAGCTTTTCTTTGTTTGAATGTAACTTCCCATAGAGACGATGTGAATACATCTACAAAGTGATGTTATAGTAAGATTTTATTCAGTCAGTTCTAGCACAAGTGAAAAAAATTTGTGCAAATGAAAATATGTAACTTGCTTCTTATGACAGAAGTTTCAGTAGACTTAATTGGGATAGTATAACTGTTATAGAAAACTGCTGCATATAAATGAATAGATGTTTGACAGATGTTTCATTGGGGACATCGTATTTCATTTCATTGGGGACTCACCGTATTTCAGTAGATTGCTTATCAGCCCAGCTAAACCACTTATCAGAAATTTGCAGAGGACACGACTGCTATTCTAGCTCTCCACAAATATGATTAGCAATGCCACGTTACTTGCTTATTACAGTTTTACAGCAGTGCTGGCAAGTTTGTTAAAACAATGTTATCATCCTATTTATTTGAAGCTTGTTCTACTGTCCTTGGTTTCTGGGTAATGATAAAGGTTACTTACTTTGCTAAAATAAATTTCTTCTGTATGTGATGTGTCCATATCAACAGTATAAATATGGTCCCTGTAAACAAAAGCAAAGAATACAACGTCAAATGGAATAGTCAGACAGTTAATTTTCTATCTATCACAAGATAATCCATAATCCATTTTAAAAAAAATCTGAGGTCTTACCAGAAGACATTACTGGCAGCATCTCCTGCTTCTCCCACAAAAGCATTTTCACATATAAACTATTTGTCTTCCCATTAAGAGGAAAAAAAGGAAAGTGCTACAAAACTTCAAAGTAAGATGCTTTCCCAAAAGCAATTATTTGAACAAATGAGATTTGGGAAAGTAGATAAGTCTCACGAGATTTCTGCTCTTTCAGTCCTACACCAGGATGCCACAATCCACAATGTAGCATGCAGATGTGTTCCTGTATCCTGAAATCAGCCACAATAGCTTTTAGGCACCCTTTGCCAGATTCCTGGGCTAGATGTCACTGTGGCATATAGAGCCATTTAAGGTTAAAAAGATGTCTCCCTTCCTTCCCCTTCCCCTCCCTTCCCTTCCCTTCCCTTCCCTTCCCTTCCCTTCCCTTCCCTTCCCTTCCCTTCCCTTCCCTTCCCTTCCCTCCCCGTTACAATTTGATTGACAATATGGTAGAAAAAAGGCACCAAACTATTCCCAGAAATTATTATTTTCTTCACAATCTGTGGGCCAAACTAAACTGTAAAATATTTCTCTGAAAAAAGTTCACACTTCTTTCCTTACAATTACTTTCCTATTTTCCCAAGAACCTGTCCCTCTCTACAATTAGCTGCCAATCTGTTCTTAGAAAGAGGAAACAGACACAGCTAATCAGGTAAAGAGATGTTTTTAGACATTCTTTTCTGTGTAAACAGAGAAAAAGGACAGGTCTGTATAGAACCCAAATTTGAAAACAAGCACCAATCCACAAAGTTGTAGTAACCAGCACATTGAATTGGGACTGAGATCTCATTTTTCCTTGAAATAAAATTGAATATTTTCAAGATGTAGAAAGCTGCGCAGCTGAAGTTTGACCCGCAGCATTGCAGGGTCTGCTGAATGCAGAACACAGGCTCTTTCCATTTTAGAAATCGCTGCTCTCAAGGTTAGCTTCATATTTATTGGGTTTTGCGAAACAGTGCTAGTCGTGCCTTTGACTAAGGCAAACACAGAATACTGCTACATGAGAAATAAACACTTCTCTCAGGTGAAGAAAAGACGCAGTGTTATGGTAGGGAACCAGCTTTGAAAATTTTTCTCCTATGGAGCTTGAGGCTGTTTTCTCTGTGAGATGCCAAATTGAGGAGCTGATGGGTTTTCTTCTCCTCCAGACTCTAAAACCAGAGCTGTCATTTACTTACAAGATTGGTTTAATACTTCAATTTATTATTTGCCTGACTTCAGTGACAGAGCAGTGGTCAGGGTTGGTTCTGGAATAAAATTACCTATTAGCACAATATCAGCTTCATAGATTACGTCATGGTTCCCTTTATATGTGCATTACTCTTTATTGCTGTCACTCCTGCTATATAAAAGTGGGGGGGAAAAAATCTCTTGAATTGCAAATGAGGTGCGGGTGGACCTCTAAAACCCTTCTTCCAGCACAGCTCTTGATTTTATTCATTAACCTCGCTTTCCAGAGGTTACAATTTTTTTCATTTTCAACAAGACAATTAGAAAATACAGCAGTGGTACTCAGAAAGAGCTGAGTTGTTTAGTTCCACCTCAATAAAACTGTCTTTAGAGGACTTACTATCTGATTCAAGGAACAGTTCAAACGAAACTCCGATGCTAAGTTATGAGATTGTTGGAAAGAAGGTTAGCATCAGGAAAATTACATATCATTTTCTCAAGCCACAAACGAAGCACAGTTGCTGACAGTGTCAGTAGACAGCAAAAGAGCTGTCAAATTTGGGGAGGGCTCCCTAATCACAGAAAACGTGGGATTGTCCTCATTCTCCTTTTCCCACTGCTGCCCAACTCCTACTTTCTACTAGCTGTGGTATGTGTACAGTTTACTGCTAATTAAGTTATTCTAACACAAATTTACTTAATCCTAGAGCTTCCGTTTTTCCCACCTCCAGTCAGCAGAACTGAGTTCTGTTGCCATGGCATAATCTTGTCGGGGAAGGGAATTTAAATAATGCCACTGGCTGTGCATGACCCTTGGAACTCGGAGCATGGTTTGGAAACACGTAACTGCAAAGGAGGAGGGAGCCATCCCGTAGCCTGCTCCGTGCCTGCTTGGTTCACACACACACAGGAGGAGTGGCACATAATGTGAACAAAAGCTGCCACCACACCAGACAATGGGAGGAGGAGACACAGCAAACTTAGAAAAGGATGTGTGTGCCTGGGTGTGGGCCAGCGAGAGAGAGAGATGAGGAGCGAGTACCCTTCCCACGAGAAAAAAGATGACAGAGCCAGTCCTTAGCAAGCCTGTTCAGAGAGTAAAGCTTCATGGCCTTTGACTGAGTTATTCTAATTTATGTTGGCTGTGTATTTCTGTCTGATAACACGAAATAATGCCTTTGTGAAGTGAACACAAAACTTTATTTGGTAATAGCTAATACAGGAGTTGGGTATCCCATATGACAAAATAAGCAGTGGGACTGACAGAAATTTTGCTCTATGCCAGTTGATCATTAATAAAATGTAAGCAGTTCTCAAATCTGAGTTAGCCTTTCTGGTGGGCTGAAACTGTCTGCAAAAGTCAACACTGGATTTTTCCAAAACAAGCAAACAAAAAAACTCCCCAACCTAAACACAACAGTGCTAAAATAAATATGCTCACTATTTAACCATTTGTTTTGATTGTTTTTCAGATAATTTGATAAAATATAAACTTGGGATTGCTGTATTTCAATGCATAAAAAAAGCATGAAAGCAATATCTCATATAATAGTCCAAAGATTTATTTAGCTACAGTTTTCAATGAATCTTGTTATAAAACTCTTTGGCAAACACATTTGCTTATGTACAAATTTGCTTCCAATCTCTAGACTTACTACTGCCTTTGAAGGAAATGCAGTATTTGAATTACAAACTTTCATCCACACGAGATACTGAAGGATGACTCATTTTCTGAAGTTTGTTACTTAAAGATAAAAATGATCTCTGAATTTCAACTTGTATCACATAGTCTTGTCAGCCCAGGAAGGACTTCATTCAGTAACATGGAGGGGGGGAAGAATATGTCAAAGAGCTTTTGAGTTACCAAAGGAAAAAAAGTGTAAGAAGATTTTTTTCATGCCCATGTAAGTACAAAACAGATCAGGTCTTTATTCTTTTTTGTAGGTCACAAGATCCTAGGACTATATAAGCACTCTCATTGTAGCAAGTTGTTTTATACAAATGAGGAAGAATGCCTATTCACATACTAGTACATGTTATCCCCCAAATATTAGCATTCTTCATATAATTTGTGCACACATCCCAAAACTGTTCTCCGGGTTTTCCTGCTCTAAAGCCAGTTACTTGGGCACCGAGACAGTCTAACTGCGTCAATCTCAGTCTGGGAACAAACTATGAAAACAGCACAGCAAAATCTGCAAAGAGGATTTACCACCACCTCGCTGCAAATAATTTCCTAATTTAAAGGAAAACAAATGAGGAAAGCAAAGGGAGCTCAGTCATGAAAAGGAGGAAATCCTGCCACCACCTTTCAAACCTATTCAACCCTCAGTCCTGCCCCACTCTTTATCCCACTAAAAACAGCAAAAATACCAATTTCAGAACTCAGACAAAGCACAGGGCTGATGTCTCCCTGTGCCCTGTGACCACCACCATGGCAGCTCCTGTGGAAGGATGCTTGCTCTCTCTGCCTGGGCTCCATGCAAGGTCTTGCCGTGAGAGCCCGGGGCTCTGCCACCCCATGCAGCAAGGGGCATGCAGGGAGCCTGGGAAGCTGCAATCAGCCAGAGCAGCTGCTATGGCTGGGTAATGGAACAGGTGTGCTCTTCCAGCAGCCAGGGACATGGCTCTGAAACGTGTCACTCAGTGACCGTGCTGGTGTAATGCAATTACCAATTTTGTGGTGCTGCACAGAGATGGACAGGCAGCTTTCCCCACAGGACACATCCGACCACCCAGGAGATGGGGAGTGGCTGCTTGAGAAGAAAGGCAGGCAGCTCCCAGAGGCTGCCAAGGGCTTTGCAGACGGGGCTGGTGGTGAGAGGCTGCCTGTTCAGCAGCTGTTCCCCTTCACTCTTGGCCATCCCACCCACCACTTCTCCCATCTGCAGCAACAGCCTGGTTTTATGTGACACATGCAGAAAGGTGTGTGTTTTTCCAATGGAGAACCAGAAAGCAGGCAGAAAACAAGCTACTACTTGAGAGGCAGCTTGCAGGGAGATCCCAAACAGCATCTGGGTCCAAGAGCTCCTAAACTGGACTACCCACCCTTGCAAATCTGGACCACCCAGCCTTGCTAATCTGGACCCATCTTGCAGTCATTCTGCATCTCTCATGTAATTCCCACTCTAAGATTGTCAACCTTCTTTGCTAACAACAGGTAAGGATGTGAAGTGTTAATATTGGATCTCTGCAACTTTGGCAGCTGTCTAATGGGTGTAGGCCCACTGAGGTTGACAGCGCAGGCTGAGCTAGGCAAACTAAATGGGTGGCTCATGGGCAATTTTTATAAAAAGACGTGCTCATGTCTGCACAGTATAGCTCTCCAAAAAAAGTCAAGTCACTAAATTCAATTAACCTTGAGGGAGCATGTTCAGTTCTTTTTCTTTGTCTTAAGATACCAAAAAACATGCCAAAATCAGCAAAATTTCATTCTAATAACTCTTATCAAAGAGTGCACAGAAGAAATATTCTCTAAAATTTGTCATTATTGGTGAGCACTAGTGGAATAAAATTATGAGGGTGGCATTGCTTCTCCATGGAACTAAATTATATTTCTGGCAACTTCCCCTCTTGCAGGTCTCAGAGGAAGGCAGAGGCATGTAGCCCTAAAACACAGGTGTAACACAATGCAAAACTTTAGCTGATCATCTAGCATTGTTTCTAATATGTCTTACTAACAGGCTGCAAAGCTCTCTCTGCAAGCAAGACAATCCTAAAAATAATGTGTCCGTCAGAGGAGGCTACTGACCTAGCAGCAACATAGAGGGTCCTGTTCATGACCATGACAAGCTGGATGTCCAGCCGGTGCCTCTGCGTGGTGTTCCGCCCTGGTTTGTGACCCACAAACACCGGATACTGTCTTGTGTCTGTGGAAAGGAAAAACATCAACAGGGTCAGAAGAGAATAACAAACTGAAATGGTGCTAATGTGAATCACCATGGGGCCCAGCTCTAGCCAAAACCCGTGGTTTCTGTTCTGCCCTGGAAGCACAGACTGGGGCTGGAAGGCATGAGCACAGAGAGCTGGGGAGCTCTTCAAGGTTACAGTGTCTGCAACTGCAAAGGAGAAAGTCACCCCCTTTATAGAAGACAAAAACTGAATTTTTTTAAGCATAAAGCTGTTCTGGAGCTCTTGGTGCACAGGTACATGGCACTTTCTTGCAGTTTTTCCTTCACTGTTTGCAGAGCTTAAATGCTTGCTCCTGGCTGCTAAAGCATGTCTATCAGGATGAAGCTGTTCCACAGTGGCCAATCAATCACTACAATGACTGGATTGGTAGTGGCAAAAGCAAAAGGCTTGGCTCTTGTTGGCTCAAACTGCCAGTTCCCTGGGTTTTCTACAGGACTCAACTGCTGTCACAGAACGGCTGCATGGTTTTCTGAGAAATGGTGGGAAATCACCACTTGAACTTTATGAAGTGAAAGTCACTGCACATTATTTTGGCAACCAGTCTGATACTCCAATCCTTCTGGCAACTGGGCAGCAATACTAATTGGAATCCCCATGCTGAGCTTCTGCTATCAGCTTCCCCCCCTCCAGTTCTACAAGTCAGCAAGAGTATTTATTGTCTATTCCCTTTTTTTTTTTTTTTGGGTGAGAACTCGGCACACACAGGGTATTCCACTGCTCCTCAGATGGGTGTACAACCTAACAACAGTGAACACTTCTGATCAAGGGCCACTTCACTTTCAGTGATGAGCACTACCATGGCAGACCTGCTGCCATGTTATACTGAGCTGACTAGCATCTAGCTATGGTTTTTCCCCATTAATATGCCTTCCCAGAAAACTGCAGCTCCTTGTGGGAGTCTATTTCTGCAGAAACTCATCTGCTGCTTTAGTATCTTCAGCTATTGTCTTGTAAAAGCATTGTACCTGTTAAGCTTGGTCAAAGTATTGGTTCACAGCACGGCTTCAGCAAAGGACCTCATAGTGTCATGTGACACAAAGTCTGGTGATAAAACTGGATAAAAAAGGAACTTCTCACCAAACCAGGTGCTAACAACTCTTTAAGAAATAAATTAAGACACCAGGCAGGATTTAATCCTTCTGATCATGTCCTACATGCAAAATGCCCAGTTTTATTGTCAGTCTGTCTTCTACGCAGTAGTGTTTCCTCTGTAACTCATGGATCTAGAACAAACTAAGGACATTCATGTCCACTTCAGCATGCCATGCTGCAGAGGAAAAATCCTCCCATGTTCTATTTCTCTAAAAACATCAAGTATGGCAAATTTTTCTAGGAATGATTAGCACTGCCTTTCTGGAGGGTGAAAATGTTGGTGGCTGAAGTGGCCACACTAGCTATGTTTCACCTGTGGTTGCTTCACAGCAGTTCTTCCCTGTTGTTGTACCCCAGAAATCTATTAGCATTTGCAGCACATCAGGTGCGCCCTGGAGTCTTGTGTTTCAGAATAATGTTACACAGGACAGACAAGTTTTTGGGTACCAAGACCTTGCAAAGCACAGTGAACATGGACAATTTAAAAACCAAATTCCTGAACAAAAAAAGAATTGAACACAAGCCTGCTCTTGCCTGACTTGCTACTCCCTGGCATACTTTTAGGGGCCCAGATGCTAAAGACTTCCTTATAAACATCTGAAACTTTGGGACTTTGAAGAATTTTCATTGCCATTATCACAATTGAGATGAGGCAAATGGGAAAGAATCAGATAAGTCAAGCCTGATGTCCACTGTAAGATACACAGAAAGCTCTCCACCTGTTTAGCCAGCAGATCTCAGTATGCAGCTGCTGGTGTTACACTGGATTTTGGAGAGTTTGCCAATCTCTACTGGTAAGAAAGGAGAGACCTTCTGTCATACAAGATTCTTTGTCTTGATTTAGTTTTTAGCTTCTTCAATTCCATCTTAGGAAAAAAATGCCTAATGCTCAAACAGAATCCATTTGAGCTTAAAGAAGACCAATTATTTGTATTAGATTAACAAATAATTGGACCATATGAAAAGGTCATGTTCCTATGTCAGTACCTGACAATGTACATTGACTGATATGGGAGAAATCCAGAAAAAACAACTTTATCCGCTGCAACTGTATTTAAGTAGTGTTGATTTGAAGTCCCCTGATCATCACTGCATGTGCTCCTCTGGCCCCTCATACTTACAGTTGCCATGCGAAATACTGATAGGCTCAGAATCTTCCGGGAAACCAGCCCCAGCAAAGTGTAGCAGTGTGAAATATAGCAGCAAGGCTTCTGACCTCATAGTAGTTCAGCTGTGAGGCTTCACTTCTTCACTTCACCCTGTGGAAGACAAACAAGAGTTTGAGCACCTGCAGGTGGATCAGAGTTTTAAAGAGTCTGGGAAAGTGGAGGAAGCTTTTCTCCTCAGGCCTCTCACTCCACCTGAGGAGGCATGCTGTGTTTCCAAGCAGAAACTGCCCTGCAAAGCCAGTTATTCTTCAGCTCATGCCCTAGCAGGGCCACATCTTGCTTGAGGACAGAATTACGGACCTGTGTGTTACAAAAATTTTTCTGCCTCTGATGCTTATATGTAATAAAGATGCTTCATCTCCTGCACTGATTGATGGCTGACAAGAGTTTTCCAAGAAATATTTTATTTTCCCCTTCTTTGGTTTACATAGTTAGATGTTGACACGATGACACACACCATAAATAAAAAAAAACCCCTCACACTCCATTATTCTGGTTAAAAAGAGATTAAGAGTTATACTACAGGACTGATTCATACCCTGTAGAGTTGTGAATCAAGTGAAGAAACTGAGAGAGCTTGATGGAGCATTCAGAACATGTCATTAGGCTTTACCATAAAAATATGTACCCATAAATTTAGGTGTTGTAAAACCAATACTCCAACTTGTGATAAAATAGGGAAGAACTGTCTAAATCCAGCAAATTTTTTTGCCTGTGTTCCACTGATGCATTCATTCATTCATTCATTCACATTTCATGTACAAAAATATCCCTAAATCTTTAAGATAAAAGGAACCACTGGGGCCTTTGGATACAGTGAAAAAAACCAGCACATAATACAGTAAATACTTCATAATTCCCAGGCAAATTTCACAGAGACATTGATCTGTAGGGGAAATCAGTGCAAAAGTGGGGTTTTCTTTTCATCCCTTCTAGAGTTTCAAACCTTTGATGCTGCCTGCCAAAGATTCCTTTTGAACAAAGCTATTTTACAGTGGTCTGTCAGTCATTCAAGATTTATGGGCAGAAAGTCAAACTTCATAACCTACATAGTCTTTGAAACTTAATTTGGCAAACAAAGTGCTAACTTGCCCTTCTGCAGCACTATTTAATATTAGATACCTGTGTCTCCTTTCTTGATGCCAAAAAAAAGCATTAGCAAGTCTTAAACGTTGGATTCCTCATTTTTTAACCAATAGAAAAGTGTCATAATAATTAATTTGCCTCATCAGATATTTGCTTTCAAATAAAATTTCAGTTGCTATAAATGGTTTGGAGTGGGGGATCTGGTGCAGGGTGATACAGTCCATAAGGACTGCTGATTTATTACACTCTCTGTGTTAGTCTATTTTTATTTCAACATAAAAATTGGAATTTTGGCTGATTCTTTATTTCTATTAACAAAACAACTGAGAGACCAAGTTAGAGACCAAGAATAGGAAAAAAAAATAATGTAAGGCTGTGACTGACAACTGAACAAAGTTTCAGATAGATGGTGAAGGATAAAAATAGAAAGAATAAATGCAATACAACGCAGACACTGTAGGTCTATTATAACTTATAAGAGAATACATACTCAAAGATGGTACATACAAGCCCCAATAGAAGTATTTCCATCTAGCACTGGTTAAGCCAATAGCTCTGTATGATTCCTGACACAGCTATAACTGCTTGCAGACACTTTCTTTATGCATTTCCTCCATTTGTCTTTCTAGTCACCTCTTACATTTTCTCTTAACTGTTAGCTCTTTTGGGTAGAACCTGTTTCTTTCTATTTGTTGTCATTTGGGGCCCTTTGGAATGCAGAAAGAGGAAAAAGCAGCAGAAGTAAATAGCAGGCTTGGAAAAACAGTTTCCCTCTAAAGGTTATAATTAAAAGCAATACATACACATTAAAGGGGCTAATTCCTTTATCTCTATGCAATTTTTCAACATGTCACTTTGCTGAGTTAAGAATTTTGCCCTTGTAAGTACACAGCAAAATAGCAAAGTGAAATTCCTTACTGCACAAATTGATTGAAATTATTTTCTCTTTGAAATTGCTACAATCCAATGTACAAATCTTTTCTGAAATGTACATGGGGAAAAACAGTTTAATGGGAAGAACTTAGGAAGCAGCCCAATTCTTCCACTTACACTGTATTAATCTACAGTATCAGTCTGCAGGCTAACAATCCAAACCACTTGGCTCACAGTGAGACTCTGGAGCATAAGAATAGCTGCATTCTGTTACTCCCTATCATCACAAAATCCTCTATCCAACAACGTGTGTGCTGTGAGGAAAGCACCACAGTGCTGCAGACACAGCTCTGCCACTCCCCTTTAGAGCCTGGAAAACTTGTCCCATGGGAGATCCTGCACCATCAGCCCCTAATTCTCATTCAGACTTGTGTACTGCTCCATGTACATCTGTGTGGGAGACAGCTCCAGGAAAATGAACAAGGCCCAGCATGCATACTTTGTGATTTCATGCACATGCTATTGGGCCAGATCTGCTTTCTTTTACCTGGGAAAAAAACCAAACTGACAAATGAACTGACATAGATTGGTAGGTTTATATGAAATTCTCCCTCCTTAAGAGGATTTTCTGGAGAAGAAAAGAGGGAGGAAGAGAGGAAAAAAGCTTAATTCTCTCTATGTTGCTCTGATGCCAACATAGTCGTTCAAATTCACAAAATGCGCATGCAAAATATCTGCTTTGACATGTCAATAATTCAAGTGTACTACACATGTATTAGTGTCTGTGCCAATAAATTAGCACTGAAGAGGACTAAATCGCATCCAAAGGCAGCTTTTTTCCAGAGGTAATTATTCAAACATATTGTCACTTTAGCAGTTCTTACAATGGCAGAAAAGACATACTGTTTCAGTGGAATTTCAGAAAAGTGCTGATTCAAGAAGGTCACACTTATTTTTAGGACAATTTTCACCGTAGTTGGGCCCCTGGGATTGATGCAAATGTTCTCACTTGCAACTGTGCTGAAACTACTTTTGTTCAAAAGTGCTTGTGAACACAGTGTCTGATGAAGATGAGTAGCTAGACAGTGATGCCAAGTGAGTCCAGCACTGTTTCAAAATAAAAGTTTTGCAAACATCAATGAAGAGCTCTCCACCTTTCATGCAGAGATCTAAACTGCAATTCAATCTGGCCTGCATTAAGCCATAGTGGTTGAGAGAGAACTGGGTCTGAGAACTCCAGTTCTCCTAGTTCAAAACACTGCAACTCTTGTTGAAGGGAGCTACTGGTGACAAGAGTGAACCTTGGAGGCCTTTTCTTATCAAGCAGGCTATTAAAATACAGCCCTACAAATATTTAAGGGAATGTTTTATAGCCTATGTCTAATCCAGTGACTTGCAGCCATTGAATTGGCAAGTTGATTAGATTTCTTTCAAGCTTCTAAAAAACCCACAAATAATTTGCTTTATGCTTTCCTAAACCAAAGAATATATTAATGTTTTGGAGGATACATTGGTGCTCTGATTATTGTTTCTGAAGCTGATGTTTCAAATACTTATGTAAGACATCTTGCTGTGGCCACTTATGTGTTCCCTCCTTTTTATTGTAGTATAATTATGTATAAACAAACCACATGATCTTTTAATAGATATAGAAATCAAAGTTTTGCCTTCTGAAGTGGAATAGGTTTTTCTGTTTGTACATTTCAGCCCAGAGATGAATCACTTCTAAGTAGCATGTTTGAATACTAGTACAAGATAGCTGCTATTACTATTACATTTACTTAGTCAAAGCCTATGCATACACATACATGTGCATACACAGATAAACATATTCATGTACATATACATGTACATATACAAAATCACCCACATATACAAGCTTGACAGACAATCATTTACTTTTGTAAAATTCATGCTGTTGGCATGAAGGATTTTCTGAAGCCAAGAAACTTTTTGCTGTCTGATATTTTTAGCATTTACAACAGTTTGCGTGGAAATGCATACAGAATATCTGCTTGGCTAAGGAAAGAATTACGTGGCTCCTGCCACAATATCCTAGTAGGCAGGTTATTTTATCTACAGCTTGTTTTTTCCAGAAGGGTTACACAATCAAATGAAAAATCTGAACGGAAAAGAGAACTTCCTGGTAAGTTCCATAAAAGTGCGAGAGCAGATCTGACCCTGAGAAAATATTCAACAGCAACAGTACTGACTGCAAAGGCACATCTCTAATGAAAGGGATGCTCCTCCATGTTAGAAAACCTCCCATCTTGTTGCTTCAACCTCGCTATTCATTCAGCTAATCCCGGCGTAACTTCAAGAAAAATCAAAGTATGCAACCATGTCAGAATTTTCCCATGGCACAGTAAGACTGCTCTATAATGAATAGACCTTGTTATATTCATTTATTACAAAACTTCTTTCTACCATGATGGGTTGTGTTCATACACAACAGCTGCACTTCGATCCACAAATTGTTAAGATTAATGTGAGAATCACCAGACAAAATTCAAGGTCGGTGTCATGCATGAAGCAAGGCCAGAAAACCTACTGGTCCTAAAAACCCATGACTGTCTTCAACAAACTCTTTCATTTCTACAAATATGTATAAATAATTTATTATTCAAAAAGATAGCAAGAAGAAACAGCATTTAACCAAACACTGAGGAAATTAAAAAGTAAAGCCAGATGAATTTGAATTACTGCATAAGGAAAAATGCACAACATGGAAAGCAGCAGCCTACATGAACTGGTCCTGGAAGTACTCAGCAAATAGCCCTTAGAATCATAACCAGCAAAAGCAAAAGTACCATTAAAAAGCAGGGAAGAAATTGATTTGAGTTTCATAACAGAGGTTAAAAGATTGGAGATTCTTCTGTGGTAAGAGCTTTAAAGGCACACAGGTGATTTAGGAGCCCTACTCCCGTGTCTCATCAAGAGCTAGCTCTGCCCTTACATGTAGGGCATGTATCAATCCACACAGCCATGCCTTGCCATGCTGGAGGCAGAGCACAGAAACCAGCTGGCCAACCTGCCTGCTGTTCTCTGCTATGGTACAGATTTGCCATGAGATATTGGCAAACATCCTTCAAGACCCTTGGCTAAATTTAAATTCGGCTAATTTTCCTTTG